GGGTTGTTCAAAATTTCAAATGTGGCTATGATGCTGAAAGGCTTTTGCGCTCTGATACTGAGAGCAAGACCCGCAAATGATCAAGACTGATGCGAAGAAAAACTATCAGAACCAATGAATACCAATGAGCCATGCAAATGCAAACTTGGAAAGAACTCGAACAAAGCTGAGCTACACTATGGGGGAACTCGATGACCTGCCGCTGGGTTGTGCTCAGGTTCACTACATGATTCGTTTGCATCGGTTGTTCCTTCTTCGATCCTGAGCACAAACCAGCGCTGTGGCACACGTCTTGCTTTGCTACTAGGGTGGAGGCCGTCGCTAGTTCGCTAGTAGGTTGGAGGCCACCGCTACTAGGGTGGAGGCCTTCGCATGTTTTTTCCGAGATTCGCAACTGTCTACTTAATGTCGAGACCCGGCCATGAAGCCACGCAAGACCTGGAGCCAAGGAGGATTCACCTCAGCTGCATTCATTTTCTCAAGCCCAGGCTTGAAGAAAATGGAATATTCACGAAGAGAAGAACATGTGACCGAGCCGAGCCAGGCACTGATAGATAAACATTTGGCCACATGCTCTGCTTTCTGCACATCCTCTAGCGACTCATGAGCTTTGTCCAGTGCCTCTAGCAAACAAGATTCTGCGTGCGCAAGCACTTGGAAGACTGGGTCAATGCTGGCCCTGAAGAACTTCTTGAGAAAGTCAGAAACGCATGGAATCCTGGAAGCAGCAGCTTGGTCAGAGTGAAAACACCAGCGGTTCATTATTCACAGTATATAGAACCAACATGAACCAACCATGACATGCCCTGATTCTTCCAACGCTTTGCAGAAGCTTGGCAGCCATGGTATCATAATCAGGTCAAGAGTCGTATAGACCTTTTGCAGTTTCGCCGCTATCTTTGGCTTGAATACAAGTTCGGCTTCTTGCTGAATCCGGCGAAGCTCTACAAGGAGAAAGCTCGAAGCTTGGAGCGATGTCTCGTCAGAAAGTTGCAAGGGCCGGTTCATCGCGCAATGACATCGGTTTTCCGGTTTGTCGCCAACTACTTCCGCATTTGGGACCCTGTCAGTCTTCCTATCCAGTTTAACTGGTCCACCCCTGACATTCCCTGACTCTCCTTCAGTTGTCCCACCAAAAGATCCGAAAAGTCATGCTTTTATAAAACAACAATCCTGAAGGTGTTCAAAGAACTCCGAATATGATCCGAAGTGGCTTGATGGAGCAAACATGACATCTCAAGCCACTGCTTCACGCCAAGCAAGTAAAGTCATGTCTGACACATTTCTTAAGAAAAAGTGGATCCTTTCAACATACAGCGGCCGAATACAAATGCTAACAGCACATATTCAATGCCTTTGAATACCTGCAAATGTCAACCTCTGGAAGACCCAACCGGACCGGTTGAGCATGGCTGGCAGAAAGAGCTTGAAATGAAAATGCAAACGAGCAATCAATCCAGGGCATTGAAGGGTCCAATTCATACACAGTCGGGGAATTTGGACTTGGGAAAGCGATGCTGTCACAGAACACAGGGCGGCAACCCAAACATGTGCATCTGCAAGACGCTTTGGCAACTGGATTCACTTGATCCACTCACAGCTCAGAACAGTCGTTCTTGCAGAGGTCGGATACAGGACGCATTCACAATTTGGTTTCACATGTTCCAACAAAGATCACAACTACAGTGTTTGCCATTCAACTGAACTTGATCCCAAACGATCCCCCAACTTTCGTCTTGAGTCCCATGAGGCTTGATAGATATCTGCAGTGTTTCGGACTTATTCGTTTGGATTCAATTTTGAGGTTGCGGCTCCGACCAGAAAATTCGGCGAGAAATGAAACAAACAAATCTGGATGCAAGCATCCTGCATGTGAATGTGTCTGACACCTCTTCGATCACCTTACATTGTAGAGAAAACCCAATCTAAAATAGATTCCAGGTCCACGTGTGACTTGCGACCTGCTGTCAGTTCAATATTTTGGAACCCAAACGACGATCTCTGAAAATGTGCTGAAAGAGTTCAAGTAAATCTCTTAAGATTGTTTAAGACTACGCATGACTACGCGGTGTGTGCTGTCGGAATCGGTTGCGTTGATACTAAATTATGGTCCTTTAATTGCCAGGACAACCCGGAAACCTTACGACCCTGGCGTTTGGGCAAGATGGATGCACGGTGAGCACCATGCCTTCTCTATGCTCCAGTCTTCTCGTCGCTATCTGTTCTCGGCTCCAGAAAGGATCGGCGCTGGCGGAAGTCGAGCTTCTGTGCATCCTTTTACGCCCAAATAAGCGGACGTCGAGGGGAATCTGTCGGATTCCGGAGCTGTTGAAAGCAAAAACGGAAGGCTTTTGAACACGTTGAAAACGTCAATGTCTTTTGTTAAAAAATCAAGGTGTTCATATATATATATATAGTCTTGAAAACACTTGGACTTTTTGTTGGCTTAGTTTTGAAATAGATCCTGCAACAGTTTGGCAGCTATGTCTTGGCGACAATTCCGGCCAGCAAAGAAATTTAAAAAGGTTTGTGGCCTATCCCGTCTACTGCGCGGTGAACGCCCGTCAGTGCCTAAGGCCTCGGCCACGATGAATCCGGATGTCCAAGAAATGTTGGATGTGTTCATTTTCCATGCAGCGTTTGTTGAGGCCCCTGCCATCCCTTGTTCGCTTGGTCAATGACATAATTTGCTACATCCTGCATGGAAATTGCCACAAGAGTCCCAGTCCGCTTGACGTGCTTCAATCTCACCGTCTCCATTAATAAATGCCATTTTGCAATAGGATGCAATAGGTATACGCTACGCAAACCACACAGCAGGCTTTTGTACCTCAAACAAATACATCATAATTACCACAACCGCTTTATCCCAAAGTGCCTCGATATCATCAGGACCCAAACGCTCTCCGAATGCCGGCATTGCATTCTTTCCATTGGTGACCTTTAGTGGGAGATGGAGCGAGAAACATGGAGACAACGCTTCAGTAAACTTGCAAATCTAGCTGCAATGTTTCACAACATGCCGGATCAGGGAAAATCTGTTTGTCCACTTTGTTTGAATGTGTGATGATGCATATGGAAACATCAACGCACACCCGAATAACATTGTACCAGCCTGATACTTGATTCTCTCGACATCATACATTCCATACCTGGAAGGGCAGGGAACAAAGTCTGCGACGACATGGATAGTATTGAGGCTTTCCTGCTGTATCTTGTTTCCCTGTTTCCTTCGTTCAAGGATTTTCAATGATTTTCACATGTCGATGTTCAGTGCGTTGAGTGGAGTGGTTGGTGGCACGTCTCCAAGGCATCTTTCTTCAGCTTTTTGTCTGGCTGCACGGCATTGTTTCCGCCAGCATGGCAGGCTGCACCTGGGGCTCCAAGGAATCTCTGTCTTTTCTTTTTTTCACACGCTATTTTGCTTCGAGTCTTCACACCTGGCGCTTGCCTTGCGATTGAGGACAGCACAGTTTGCTAAGAAAATGCCCTGGCCGTTCCTAAAAAAGACAAACACGCTGGAAATACAACATGAATCAAGTAGACAATAAACAACCTGTAGGCAGCACAATTGTACTTTGTTCGAACGCACTCAGCTTGGAACTGGAGATCTGCTGCCAGTGCTGGAGCTCCCGCCAAAAAAAGGCCCAAAGCTATGCCACACAGCAAGCCGGCGCCGCTGCCTGCCGTCTCAGGCGGCTTGGCCGGCGCCGGCAGCTCGGAGTGGCCACTTGGTCGGAAGCCAGGCTGCCTCAGCGTCGGCTCATGCTTCTTTGGCTCCTGGCGATTCCAAAACGGCGCTTTAGATCGGCTTCTGAGTATTCCATGATGAGATCATGAATAACGACAAGCAAACAGAACATAATACTCAAACTCAAACCTTTTGTTTGAGTCTCTCCCTCCCTCCCTCCCTCGCTCGCTTGCTCTCTTCTTTCTTTCCTTCTTTTTCTTTCTTTCTTTCCCTAAAGGACACGGGACATGGATCTCGCATCCTCAAAGGAGGTAGGGGAAGCGGGAAGCGGCTGGTAACTGCTGAAATAGAGCACCGTCGTAGCTCTAAAGAATTCAAACTCCACATCTTCCCGACGATTGAATATGACTCCGCTCAGTCTGCCCATCCTGGACCGGGACAAAAGCGTGGCCATGATAGACCACCTGATGGAGTCAGACTCGTTGGACATCGCATGCGCACATCGCTTGTGTTTTCAGGTTGGTCCAAGGGACTGAGGCCAGAAAGAGCCGCAGGAGCCTCGACCTCAGCTGACTCAAACAGCTAAGCCATCTATCGCCACACGTATCTAGATCATCCAGAATCCAGATCATTGAGATCCCGACATGGGGGCTCTGTCAAACAGCTGGCTCGTGCCAAGATGTCGGAAAGTGAAAGCCGGAGCTTGCAGTCTGCAACAACGAATCTCGAAAGCAATGGCCTTACATGGCCTTACAATGACTGGAAAACAAAACGAGCCACGCTACTTTTGACCGTGTCGTCCCGTGCCATCAGCGCTGCTCAAGAGTTGGTATCACGTTGCCGTTGGCAAACCCTTTTGTGGGGCAAGCCGCCAAGCAATGGTAGCTCAACTTGTCGGCCTCTTCCACCACTTACTTCCGCTGACAAATTCTTTCCCTTCAAACTTTAAACTTATATCATCTTATATCTATGTCAATTTCTGTGTCAAGCCACTTCACTCGGCTAGAGCACTCCGTCATGTGTTTTGCCAAACATGGTACACAAAACAAAAGAAGAGTACAACTAGTACGGATCTAATCAGGTTTGGTGTGGTTTGGCCGAAATTGCGGCCCTTGAGCGCTTTGGGCTCAAGATTGACCGACGCAAGGCGGGACTGCCATGGGCTGGCACGGGGCGATATGAAGCGTCGGCATCACGTCGGCACCGCTACATCAAGGTTCTGTGCGAAAAAAATCGGCTGCAAAAAACGAGACTTTTCTATCTTGCTCAGAATGTTGATCAATGGATGTGTATATGTATACACTCAAAAGTCGTGCAAAAAGTGCTGCCATTTTCATGCCCTACAATCTGAGCCACACCAAACAAAAATTTATGCAAGATTCTCTCCATGAATCTCGCATGTCAAACTCCAAATGAAGATGACTGAGAATCCATGACGCCTCTTTATTTCAGGCCTGCAATGATTGACAGTGACCCGGACATTTCGGCCAAGGGTGCTAGGGCCCCTTGGCAGGCCTCTTTTCTCCTCCACAAAATGTCATTGGATGTCATTGGCATCTTTTGCCAGCTCACTGGGCCTTTCCTTCTTTCTCTCTCTCTCTCTCTCCGCGTTCTCTAGACTCGAACATGAATTTGAAGACCTTGCACGGTGGTCATCCTTCACGCTCGCGATGTTGCCCAGCAATTCTTGAACTTGCAACGTGATCTCAGGCGTACGGCAATCGTGGAACGCTTAGTGCGGGCACCAGAACACTCGCCAAGTGGACTCCTTGAAGACTTCGACAATCGTGTCTTTCACAAAGTGATTTTGCGCCGACCGTGATAGTGTTGCAAACCTTCCAATTTCCAATCCGGATCGAAATATCTTCCGACTCCAACTCGAAAGTCCATAGACACTCTCAGGAAGGTTGTGGAATTTGGAGGAGCATAATGCCTCACCAATGTGCCATGGAACATGGCAATCTTCCCAACATCCAAGCTCAGCGGATGGAAATCGTTGGCATTGGGTTTTGACTCAACCCAAAGCGTTGTCTTGGTGCGGTCGTAGTTGGTCAGTGGCATCCAGAAATTGACTTCCCCATCCTGAGCGCATAGCCACGCCAACAAAATTGTCTTGCTAATTGGACACAGCGACGGAACATGTATAGAAGAATCAGTTCAATCCTCCTATGATCCCTTTGCCGTTTTGGTAGGCCCTAGGAACCCCATTCATATATACCCTACCTACCGAAAAGCGCCCAGGAAGACGATAAAAAACTGAAGATGTGTATAGATAGATAGATAGCTAGCTAGATAGCTAGCTAGTTAAGTTAAATAGATAGAAGTTTAATGATATTTACATATTACTAATTCGTGGCAAATCCAAGAGCCACCTCAAGATGTGGTGCTGCTTGTGGGTCACTGTGCGCACTGCTTGAACCTCGTTGCAAAAGACTCGAGGTCAGGGACCCTTTCGCGGGGCAAGAGCAAAGAAACAAACGCCTTTGAGCGCCAGGCAGCTCTGCGTGTTGGCAGGAGGAGGGGCGGCCGAGGATAGCTTGGGAGCTTTAGGAAAACGATGGCTAGTGGTGGGGAGCCTAAATCATCTTCCTTGGAGTCAGATTTAAGCTGGGTGAAGCTGATTTGACTGAGTGGCCCAAAAAGGTGGAAACCTTGGCGCAACTATGGCCAACAGAACATGTACAGCCGCTGAAGATTGCTTTGCGGTGTGAAGGCTCAGCATTTCAACGTGTGTCCGGATTGGGTCCCAAAGTATTGAAGGTCAGTATCTTGAAAGGCGAGATGGCCATTGTGAAAACGCTCGGCGCTCGGGGGAAATCAAGACCGGAAGGCAAGTTTGACCGTTTTGATCGCGCAATCTTTGGCGCAACTCAGCGACCAGATGAGATGCGTGAATCATACTTGGCCAGACATGACCATTAACTTGAAGAGTTGATTGGAATGAAGGTTGGGATGGAGGAATTCCGTGCCTACATCTTGCTACGCAATTCATCGCTGAACTCGGAGGACAAGAAATGCTTGATCGTGGAGTCGCAGTGTTCACTGGAATATCGTGACTTTGTGGCCAGCCGCAAACTCTTAGGCGATCGCTTTTTCCATGAAGTCCACGCAGGCAAACAGCGCAACCCCCAAACCAAATGGCGTGACGCCACAGCTTTGCCCACGGAAAAGGCACCCACGTTGTCGCCGTCCCATCAGTATCCTGGGAAGAGGGGATTGGATCTGTTGGAGACTATATTGAAGACAGTGTGATTGAACAAATCACTGATCGAGTTCTCACAAGCACCAGACTCCGCTTTGGTGGGACCATCACGCCTGTTCATCTCTGTCACGCTGGGTTCAGAATACCTCGAAAGGCTGAATTTGTTTGGCGGCTCGCATCTGAGGCCAAGGCCCCCAGCCCAGCGCCAGCTGCGTTGGCGTAGCGCAAGTTGGCGTGGTTGGTGCGAATGCTGGAGAAAGCCCAAGTGTTGGCCTCGGTCTCTTGGGAGGGTCGTCTGTTGTTGGACTTGGTTTGCAGCTGTTGACCCTTGGAGGAATCTGGTGAAGACATGTAGCCGTCCATTGATTTTTCTCGGTGAGGGAGTTTGTGGGTCAAACTTGTCAAAACCGTCCGTGCCCATATGCGCCCCTGGCACGAAACAAATCTAGCAAGCTGGTCACAGGGAGACGTTTCCGTGGTGTTCAAGTGTGCTTTGCTCGCGCCCAGGAAGTCCTGCAGTCCGATCCTTGCTATGCGGGATAGCTGCCCTTTGCACTCGGCATCGCCGAAGCTTCCTTCTCCTTCTTGGGGCGCTTTCTCGCTGACTCCTTCTCTTGGGGCTTGGGAGGGGCGCTGCTGTCAGTATAGCCCGGGCGCCGCAGGGCGCTTTGCGCTTGCAGGTTTCACCTTTCTTTTCCTTCTGGCGCTTCCGCTTCGGGACCTCTGACAAGTCAGTTGGCCGAAGGGTTGCTGCGTCTTGGGGTTCTGCTGCGCGTCGTGCTTCACAGCTGAAGCCAGGGCGTGACCGAAGAGCGCCAAGTCCTTGCAAGGGGTTTTACCCAGCCATTCTTGCATCTCAGGCGCCCACTGTAGATCGCGCCGGCTGCCTGCCGTGGACGCCACCCCAGCAGGGTCTAACCCGTAGATGTGCGCGCCTAGCCTGAGATGACCGTGTTGGTTGACACCGTACGCACTTGCATGGTTTCCGCACTTGCATTCTTTTTGCAAAAAGCTTTGAATCTGAGGTAACCACGCTTCGTCGCCTCGCTGTTGACGTTGGGCGCTGCTTCGCCAGGCGCTGGTTGGAAAGCGTGATCTGCAAGTACTGCTGGGCACCCCAGTGGAAGTTCTACGTTTTAGATTTCCCTGCGCCGTTACGTTTATGCTTCCTATCCTTTGCGCTCGCCCCCTTGATGTTGCTTCCACTCTTTCAAGCACGCCCGGCACTTAGCCGACCAACCTGTGTACCTGTAATCAGGTGCTTCGAGAACGCACTTGCCTTGATCTCTACCTATGAGTGTTCCTTTTGTAGCAAGGGCTTGACAGAAGCGAGGCGTTTTGGTAGAACATCTGGGTTGATCCGGCGATCCGTTTTTCTTTCGGCTGGTGGAATCTCCTGGGGTGCCTTCTGTAACATGCTTGCGCTCAAAAAGAGCTCGCCGAACTTCGTGGCACCCTTCACGCGCTCATAGTTCCCGCACAAGTTGAAGCAATTATCCGCGACGCAGACCGCGTGACACCTCGCGTGGGTCGCAATTGGATCACCGCTGGCAAAACCGTTGACCAGCTGCAAGACATGTTGCCGGAGAAGGTTTTGTGGACATAGATGTTTGCAGGGGCATCAACCGAAAAAGAATACCCCCAGAGCAAGTCACAAGCCAGTCATGTCCATGTCGCCGTGCCATGGGACGTAAGAGGGATGATCAATCAGGCGTGCTAGAACCTGAATGGGAAAGTGGGATGCGCTAATTCGAGTGGGAGCCCCCGCCACATTGCAAGACCATTCTCGATCAAAGGAAGCCAGTGATGGTCATCAAGCAAAACTTTCCGTATCGCAGGCTCCGGAAGAGCCTGCAGCCAATCGTCCATGTCCGGCCCCTAAACCAGCCGAACCGTATGAGCCTGTGTCGTCAGGACAACCAGCTCAGGAACCAAGTTCCATGTTCCGAGCGTTGCCCGAGAAGATACAAAACCAGGTTGTCAAGATCTATAACGACTTTAGACACCCGGGCCACCAGCGCATGAAAGCAGCATTTCAATGTGGGGGTTGGTCAGAAGCTGGGGTCCAAGCGTTAAATTGTCGTACTTTGCGTGTGACACGCGCCGGGAACAAGAAGCGCCAAAGATAGCCGGCCAAGCTCATTCAGCAGTTCGAAAGGATTTCAATGATTTGGTCTCTTTCGATGCCGTCCAATGGAAAACCCCCTAGACCCGTAGTGGGGGGTGTTGTCATTTCATTGAATCTGATTCCGCCACCAACATGTTGCCACAGCCTTTGAACAGGGTACAGCGCTTATCAACTGTTTCCAAGACGCATGGATTTGTGGGCAGGTAAGCAGGTAATATCCGATAGCCGCAGGGAAGCAAATAGCCAGTCATTCTGTGAGCTCGCGCAAGAACATGACATCCGTGCAGATACCATCCCTTCGCGAGCTGGCAACTCGACCGCGCCGAAAGAAATGGGGACATCCTGAAAAACACGTGGTCGAAATATCGCATCCTGTTCGAAAGCTTGAAATTCAGTCAAGCTCTCCTTCATTTCGCGCTTTGTCCAAGCATGCAGGAAAAAGCCCAAAACTCTTGGTGCTCGGCAAAAGCCGCCATGCGCCGAGCAGCATCATGGAACGTGATCAAAGTCATCATCAGTCGCCTACACAGAGGGCAGCAGGTTCAGACAGCAAGCTCTCAGGAGAGAAGCTGGCCGAATTGCGTACGTCAAGGCCGGCCAATGCTCCATACTAAGGAAGTCACGTCCTCATGTAATGATATATACCACCGGTGATTGGGCGACGTATGGGAAATCTAGCCAGGCAGAAGAAGGCGAATGGTATGCATAGGCCGGGTGGTCATGGTTGAACACAAAGCCATTTGGCTATCTGAGTCGCATCTCACACGGCTACACCGGGTAGCTGTTCTTGAACGTGTGAGACTGTTGTCAACCAACGAACAGCTGATGGCCCGAGGCCTCCAAGACTTTCGGAGCCCGGTGAAGGGTTTGCACTGTTCCTCCCTGAAGTCGTTGCGTCGTCAATGCCTGCGTAGGCCAGCTTTGATAGGCACAGGCCTTGATAGGGTCAGCAGCAAAAAGGCAAAAGGTGGAGGTACGTCTCAAAGATTTAAAACAACCCAAAAGAGCAGAACTTGAGGAGGCAAAATCCAAGGAGATCGAGCAATTGGCCCCGACACAGACCCAGGACATCCCTCCCATTGAGATACCCCGTGAACAAAGAAAAGGTCAACAACAGTCAGCAACCCAGCAAGAGACACAAGCACCATGAATCCCGGCGTATTTACTGCAAGCCAAAATACCGATTAGGGGATCTCTTAGTAGCCTGCTAGATGATGCCAAGAGACATGCCAAGATCCAGATCACGATCCAAGCCGTTCCGCCCGAGGAAGTTAGGTTCCTGTCGTTCTCGGATGCAGCGTTCGCAGCCCGTGAAAGAGCACACTCCCAGCGAGGAACGTTTACTTTATCCACCGCGCAAGAAGTAGAAGACGCAAAGGGGTTAAAGGTGAGTCCTCTAACGTGAGCTCTCGCAAGGCCCACAGGGTTGTATCAAGTATGTTGACCAGCTGAGCTGGGTCTGGGTGCTTGTGGAATGGAGAAAGCCCACCGAAACTCTGACCAAGTTGTCAACAGCTTTGCTGCAAGAGCCTGCGCGACCTTCTTCCAAAAACAGCTGCCCCATCCTGTTCAGAATACTGAGCCCTCCTTGAAGCTCTAGTGATCAAAGACTCAAAAAAGACTCGAAGAAGGTATTGTAAAAATGGGTGCGCGGTGCAGCACGGATGGCCGATGCATTGACCAAAGATATGGGCGCTGAAAGTTTTGAGGGTCGAATGGTGCCAGCAATAGATGCTTGTGGGAATATGGGCCCGGATCCAGTCGGCGTCCCAACCCGACACGCAATTGTTGTGAGGGTGTAGCCTGCGAGATTACAGAAAGTCAAAGCACACCAGGACCCTTTCGAACTGCCGTGTCCTAAAGACGTGAAACTTTGGTGAAATTTTGTCAGTTTAAAGATTGAAGGAAGATCGTTTTTAGCGGTGTTCTAATTCGTGACAAATCGGAACCAGCTCAAGATGTGGCGCCGCTTGTGGGTCACTGTAGGCAGTGCTCGAATCTCGTTGTGTAAGTGGTGTGTGGGGTCGTGGCCGACCGTCGTTGAGGCTTGGTTGAGGACAAACTTCTATAGTTTGAGGTGAGCAGAGAAACAAGCGCCTTTGAGCGCCAGGGGCCGCGGTGTGTTGGGAGGAGGAGGCCAGGGGCCCACACCAGTGTGCAAGACACAACATATACATATGTGTACATGTAATTATATAGCAATTTCAATGTACTGTTAACATACTTTTAGTTTTGACAACAAGTTGCCTGGTGACCAAACTCTGCGTCGCGGTGAAGGCGTCGAGGGCGCTCACTGGGTCCAGGCTGCAAGCGTAGGGTGGGAGGAAATTGGCAATAGAAAGCAATAGGACCATCCTGCCACAAAAACCTGCCTCACAGCCACATGGCTGCGTATGGCGACATATGGCTACTTCTGCTTACTTTGTTTATTGTTGTGGTTTAGTTGGCTTTGCTCGCCGGCACGTCCTGCTTCAGCTTTGTCTTCAAGTTGGGACACACCACCTCTTTAAGCAGAAGCTCGTAGCACGCCAAGAACTCTGAACTGTCCAGGATGCATTGCCTCAACAACAGATAGAACCGTCTGAAAAACAAAGTCGGATAGAGAGACCACAAAAATCTCCCAATCTTTCCAACAAGCTGCCTCCAGCCTCAGTTGTTGCAGTTCAACCAAGGACATTTCATTGCGATGACATACTGCGCTTCCTCTTGCTTTGGACCCCCTAGGTTTCTTGGAGAAATGCTCCTATCCATACTTTGGGTTTGCATCAGGATTTCTACAACTACAGCAATGCTTAGTTCGTGTTGGGCAGGTCATCCGTTATTATAAAGTTTTATATTTCCAGAAAACCCAGATCACATTTGACTTGTATTGTGCACCAGAATCTGGGTTCTAGAGGCATAACAGTAGCCAGGATCCATATTTATTATACAATCGCAAAAAGAAAAAACATAAAAGCAATTTTTTTTACTTCGAGTGATCCCCACCATGACATTTCAATCATTTGTCTTGATGCCATAGTGAGGAGCATGTTGCCATGGTCGTGAGTATTGTAGTTCTCGATTTTGCTTGTGGGTCCTCGGGTTGTGTGCTGTGGTTGTGTGTTGTGCTTGTGGTTGTGTGTTTGTGGTTGTGTGTTTGCGATTGTGTTTGTGGTTGTGTGCTTGTGGTTTTGTGATTGTGTGTTTGTACTTGTGGTTGTGGTTGTGTGTTTGTGGTTGTGTTTGTGGCTGTGTGTTTGTGGTTGCGTGTTTGTGGCTGCGTGTTTGTGGTTGTGTGTTTGTGGTTGTGTGTTTGTGGTTGTGTGTTTGTGGTTTTTGTGTTTGTGGTTGTGTGTTTGTGGTTGCGTGTTTGTGGTTGTGTTTGTGGTTGTGTTTGTGGTTGCGTTTGTGGTTGTGTGTTCGTGGTTGTGTGTTTGTGGTTGTGTTTGTGATTGTGTGTTTCTGATTGTGTTTGTGGGGGAGGGGTTGTGGTTATGTGTTTGTGGTTGTGTGTTTGTCGTTGTGTGCTCGTGGTTGTGTGTTTGTGATTGTGTGGTTCTGGTTGCGCTTGTGGTTGTGTGCTTGTTGTTCTGTTTGTAGTTGTGTGTTGAGGTCCGGCGGGGAATACTGGGCGCGGATGGTCGTTGGTTGAGGTCTGGCGGGGAACGCTGGGCGCGGATGGTCGTGGTTGAGGTCCGGCAGGGAACACTGGGCGCGGATGGTCGTGGTTGAGGTCCGGTGGGGAACACTGGGCGCGGATGGTCGGCCTTGAGGTCCGGCAGGGAACACTGGGCGTGGATGGTCGTGGTTGAGGTCCGGCAGGGAACACTGGGCGTGGATGATCATGGTTGAGGTCCAGTGGAGGAGGACGAGGAGGAGGAGAGGGAGAAGGAGGAGCCGGAGGAGGAGGAGGAGGAGGAGGAGATGGGGCTGACATAAAATCTAACAACCTTCACCTGACAGGTGGGGAATGAAAGCAGAATGATAGCAAATGAAAGCAACATGAAAGCAACTGAAATGAACTCCAAAGGTGACTATTATTGCGGCTACCCCTAATTATTACGAATCTAACATTACATACAACTCTATGCGCATCGGTGACGAGATTTGTGAAAGACCAAAGGCCGACTTAGCCTCGAGCGTTTCTCATACTTGAAGGAGCTGAAGACTTCCTGCGACTTTTTGAAGCTGGAGCTGAAAGAAGGGCGATGTGAGGGTTCTTTAGGGCAGCTTCTTCTGTGAGGGATGGGAAACACATTTTTCAAGAACCATGAACCATGCATGGAAGAAACGGTTTCTAATGGCTGATGCAATGGTCTGTTGCACTAACGAAAGGCATATTTCACGCACATGCTGTATGAGCCGCCTCCTTGGCTTGAAAGAGCTCAAGTTCATTGCTACTTCCAAAACATCCGAAGCCAATCTTCGGCCCAGCCCAGTGCAGGAGAGCCGCGACGTGGCTTCGGAAGTCATACTTTGTTTTGTCATACCTTTGTTAACTGAAGAACACACTTGGTGATATGCCAACAACATCATAGGTGTGTTGAAACACAAACGCAAACGAAAGACGAACACCCTTCTGAAATCTTCTGAATATCCAGGTAAATTGTGGTAAATTACGGTATTCCCCCTTGAATGCGTGAAATTTTGATCCGACTTGACCTGAAAGCTTGACAGCAGGAGACTGAATGGACGAAGCAAAGCGAAAAGGCGCAAAAAGAGGCGAGTTCCAACAGCTAAACCGAGCGCGAGAGAAAACGAGGTGTGGAACGCACATTAAAGTTGTTTTGATCGAAATATGTGCAAAAACATTCCTGTTTTGTCTTACAGTAACTTTTTGAACATTGGGTTCTAAACCTTCAGGGCAGTCAATCCGGACTAGCGAATAGCAAAAATACATGCGGATTTGGACTAGTGGCTCCATCTGCTCTTCAGCGCGTAATGCCTCCGGAAGTTCTTCTTCAACTTGAGGCTTTGGGGACAGTAACCTGACAAGAGCTAACCAAGGTAATTTTGGGATTGCAACCCAGTCTTTAAAGTATTCTACAGCTGCTTGGGCGTGGGCAACCCATGCCCCTACTGAAGGCGACTAAATTCACGCGGGGAAATCCACTCGTTGAATTGACAAGAAAGAATCCTTCAAACTGCTGTCAAACTTTGTGATTCGAGCAAAGACTTGAGACCAGGAAAACGACAAACAAATGTGCTTTCAGTCGCTTTCAGTGTGGACTAGCAAGGGTTGCATGTGGCATTGAACATCAAGTCCAAGCAACAACATTCTCTCCCCCAAGGATGCTGGAACACCAAGCTTGGACAGCAACTCGTATCCTGCCACGCAACATAAAAAACGTGCACCAACTTTTGTGGGAAGGGCGGAAACATGCGGGAACAATTTTCTTTGATTGCAAACTCTGACTTGCTGGTCCTTCTTGGCCTTTCGACTCTTCAATTTCCGCAACGTCTCTGCCTTCTGAAACTTCTGCCATATAGAATGATGACTCTGCTGACTACATCGGTGATAAACGTGGCTGACCTCAACAGCCTCCTCCGCTTGAGCCAAGCAACCAGGTGATAATGCGAAGCTTGCCACACCAGTGCCACTTGAGTCTTGACAGCAGCTGATGGATATCCACGGCTGTGCAGAACATGTCGCAAATAAGTAAGGTACAAAAATCTTGCCTCTGCTGCGTAATTGTCTGCTTGGTTTTGGCGCGGCGCTTGCAGTTCAGGTTCGGTCAAGGTGTTTAAGGTTCTTGTTGGCCAATAGCCACAATTTGCTGGCTCAACCTGTCGGAAAACGGCTCTGGCTCTGCGTGATCCGGCTGGCGTCCGGCTGGCGTTCAACTATTTTTGAGGGGTACGAAAAAAGGAATGATTGAAGGTGCGCTGTTCGGCAGTGCAGTGGAGCGACGTTGACTCTCCACCAAACTACAAGCCGTTCGCGCACGACATGGCGCCAGAGTGTGCAATGCTGGCGGGAGATCCGCCAGCTGGTTTACGGGAGGTGTTAGAAAGGGCCGGCTTCTGGGCAACAATAGGGTGGTAAACCACCCTGAAAGAAGGGCCGGGTAAGTGGCGACGCCAGCCGACCTTACCAGATGCGATTGGCAGGGCCTTCGGCAGGCACAGCCAAGCGGGAACTACGAGGCTCTTCTCCGCTAATTAGCTAGGTCTGCGCAACAAAACAACGATGACAATGATAGTGATCGTGCTGGTGGTGGTGATAACGGCGGCATGTTGATGGTGACAATGCATATATATATATATAATATAGTTATATGTGTATATATATATTTACTTATATTGTTTTGTCAAAAAACAGCCTGCAAAGGAAAGGATATGTAATCATCGTGGATAGAAACTTCAATGTCAAGAAACTCGTCAAACCTGAGAAGTGAGGGGGCGAATGCCAAGTAGGCATGCGGTCACTTCATTTTGTGGCTGCGAGCAGGTGCAGCGCAAAAACCACGGTCTTGGACGCATTTTTGACGAACTCACCCAACAAATCACCTTTTCAACGAAGGGCGCTGGCATCATTTCAACTTGCAAAAAACAACACTTCTTCACCAAGAACTCTGGCGTCGACGCAATCTTCAGCCGCGCACAAGCAGAAACGCTGTCACCACCGCCGCCACCGAAACCACTTCTGAGCAAAAAAGAAAAACCGGCGCACCCGTTCCCACACAATTCGTCCAAAATCACCACTGTGTACGCCACGACGCCACCCGTAGTGTCCAACAATGAGTACTTTACGGCCTTTTCCCATCAAAAACACCGTTGTTGTTTATGTTTACGCGCGTTGAACTAGATTTGGCCTCTTTCATGCATGGCCTGAATCAAAACCACACACAAAGCACTGTAAATTACAATGTCTTTCCACGCTCGCTTCGACAACTAATCTCAAGCAGCTGCAAACAACACAACGTTATAGGAGTTTTTCGACACCAAATCTTTCAAACGCGCTGCTATTTACGCAGCTTCACCAACCTTAGCGTCCAAAAACATCACTTTTTTTGCTGTTCTCCCACTGAACCTCTTCAAAGCACTGCTATTTACATCTGTTTACGATGTTTTGGCCTCTTTCAGGGCTTGAATCGACCAAACAAACACCAAACCACTCTAAATTACAGTCAGTGTTTTTCCACACTCAAGCCGGCAAATTGATCCAGAACACTCCAGAAAACGCCACCATGGCCTTCCACAAGGCTCTCTTCCAGCAGGAGCTCGCTAAAAAGGACCACCTATACAGACCTTCAGGCTGGCTTTCTTCAAAGCAATAGCGCGTAGCTACAAGTATGAAGTCTTTGCGGGGTTGATGAGTTACAGTGAGTTCGGCCCAGCCAGCCCCTGCCGCTTGCTTCGGATGAACCGGACATTACTGTCAATGATTCATGATCGTATTCCCAACTGAAGCTGCTCAATATGACATCCTGTCTGCAAACCTTTTTCTCACGCGCCAGCCCTTTCCTTTTGGCCCTTTCTCAGGAGGTGGTAGCTATAGAGCAAATTCCTCAAATTTCTCGAATGTAAATGTTCGAGTGCTTTGAAGCCAGGGTTTGAAAGCCAAGGCACCCCAGGACAATCAGCAGCAAGCTCACAGCAAATCGCCAATGAAATGCCTGGTTCAAAAAAACAAGACAGCGAACTTTCATGTTTGCAGGGACTGTTAGGCCAAGCTAGGACAAATACTTGCCTCCTGCTCCAGAAGGGGTAGTGGCAAGCAGAAAAGCAAAGCGCTAAGAGGCAATGCCACCTGAGTGCTGGTTGGGTCATCTGAAACTGTGCATGTCTCCATTTCGATCAAGACATGCTTACTGTCATGCTTACATATGTTATGACAAGACATGGTGCCGAGACACCACATTCGCCAACACTGTCGCAGCAGCTGATGTTCGTTGCACAAGCATCAGCGCTGTGATGCTGAGGGAAACCTGCACACCAGACATCAATCCCGTTAGGCAAATAGACGTTCAGGAGAACTGTGTTTGAGACCTTTCCAATGAGGTCTGGACATTGGCCATAATGTAGAAAAGCGTCAGCGGAAGCACCGATCTTTGAAGCATTGCGTGAAGGCCAGCTTGAACACAACTCCTGTGTCCGGGAAAGCCTTCTCAAGCTGAGCAAAGAATCACAACACGTACAAAGACTTCTCACGTGGACCGCCAATCCTCAAGCCAAGGCCGTGCGTTAGCTTTTGGAAGAAAGGCCATGCTACAATCTGGACCACACAACGGCTGCTTGTCCCAGCAGCCAGAAATAAGGCTGGATCCTGAGACATTGAAGGGACCACAACTGGATTGAAGCATCGAATTGATGCAAAAATGCCAGACTGTTAGACTGTTGGAAAACCCGAACCGGCAATCTTGCAAATGAGGTTCGAAAGGAAGATTCTCTGGCTCTTCACAGCCTGAGTAACTGTGTCAAGGCTTGCGCGGCACACTACGTGAAACCCGCCTTGACAGACTTTGTACCTCGTCAAGACCACCTCCTTCAGAACCATTGCCTGCGTTCTCCCAAAGTGTCTTGATTGTACAGGCTTGACATGGATTAACTCCAAAGCTGAGGCACTGCTGCTTGAAGCCTCAAATCACACCAACACACCGAACAACTTCACAGATACCTCTCAAAACTGCACAAGCGAGGACTCAAAATGGTCAAGTATGGCGCTTGACAAAAGCGGAACGAACTAGGAACTTGACCAAGCCACCCATAAGCGGCTACGCAAAGTGTCACAATTGCAAAGGATCCGGAGCTTTGTGGGAATGATGTGAACACAGCCACGCCGGCTAAGGCAGCCTTGCAGTCACTTTCTGTTTCTGTGACTCCTCAGGACCCTTATACGCTAAATACAGGAAAGCAATGCGAATCATTGCGTAAACTTTTGTTTTATTGATTTGACCTTCCCTGAGGACTCGTGACACGATTGCAGAACTTTAGACCGTAGGTACTTTGATTATCTTTACAATTAAACAGTTGTTTGGGTGGGCAAAGCCTTTCTAAGGGGAACCCAGCTGTTACGCACGCGCGCTGGTTCTTACAGCGCCGATCTTTCGCCGCAACTGAGCCTGAGCTGTTCTCTTCTGCCGGAACTTCACAAGTTGAGATTTAACTCCGCAATGTGTTTTCATTCAAAACCAGGGATATGAGACGAGACCTTTGCTGATTTCTTTTGTGTTCGGTTTGCTTACGGAAGAGAGAGATGATCTCCGTCCAGTCATCAGCCACCTGAAAGCCGAAGCCACTGCTCAAACCAGTGCGACTGACCTTCTTCAATTGTAGGCAGATGTGGTGGAAAGGCTTTGCGCAACAAGTTGTTCTTTCGTTTTTTCAACTCCGCTTTCTGCACATCTGCAAACAACTGTTCAAAGCTCCCAACCTTTCCAGCTTTACAGATGAACTTGGACATTCATTGTGTGGAAGCACAGCGCTGCTGAGAAGCATCACAACCGCAAAGAACACCAAGCAGTTCAAATCGAACGGAATAGAGACAAGAAAAAGGATAAACCGATGCACGAGCACAGAATCATCGAGAAGACATGAAGCTAAGCCAAACAAGAAAGGCAGCAAACCACCCAAGATTTCAGATTCAGAACCAAGATAAATCCAATTTTCACACCCTTATCAATTGGCAACCAATCTACATCACAAACAGGAACAAAGACAAACCGACGCGGTGGTGCGCTTCAATCCTTCGTGGACCATGTGGGAGTGTGAGGGAACTGAACTCTAAGACCTGGAGGACGGACAGCAAACATATCTGAAATTATACCAGCATAGAGAAGCTACTAGTAACAAGTGCATCGCTGCTAGTAACAAGAGCCTTACTACTAGTAACAAGGACGCTACTAGTAACCCCAAAGAGCTCAGTCGGCAAGGGCGGCCAGCCCCGTCGGAAAGCAACGAACAGCACGACAGCAGGACAACAGAAAGACGAAAGGAGGACATAAGGAGGACAACAAAGGAAAACAACCCGAACACACCAAGAGGACAAAAGAAGGACAAGCTGTGACCAGACAACCGCATGAGGGGAGCGTGCCAAGAGGAGAACAAGAGTAGCAAAGGAAGAAAGGGACGACGATGATGGGAAGAGTACGACCGGAGATCGGCTGGCAGCCGTGGCCAAAGAAGACACGAAGAAGGACAACAGCAGGACAACGGCAAGCAACAGAAGGACAAGAGAAGAGGAGGACACAGAGTTGGCAAGCGCGGCCAAAGGACAACAGCAGGACAATTGCAAGCACCAGGACACGGGAAGGACAAGAGGAGGACAAGACCCGGACACAGCGTTCAGGGGCGCGGCCAGCCACTGTGGCCAGCCCCTTTTTTCCCTAAGAGAGAACCCGAGAAAGACGTAAACTGGGGAAAATGGTTTTGTCTCCAGACCTTTAGGGTGCGGCCAAGAATACGTGGCAGTACGTGGGTACGGGAAATCGGAGGATGAGCGAGTTTCGTTCTGCACTGCAAGGAAGCAGAATGGGTCCACAAGTTCGAGTTTAGAGTGACAGCCAAGAGACAAATGCAAGAGGAGATACAAGGAGAGTCAAAAGTAAGCAGGGACTCAAGAAGGTTGCTCAATCGCAAGATGCCAAGCTTCCACCACACCAATTATCTGCACCGCGTCATAGCGCTTTCTCAAGAAAAGAATGCTCAGAACAACCTCACGACATCGACAGCATGAAAACGCATGAAAACCATGACGTGGACCAACTCGATGACATGCCAAGCAGCCGTGGACGGGATCAACGTTTGGTTCAACACTTGCACCAAACTTCCGGGTAATCGAGCAGCTGAATAGAAGACGAGTGGAAAGAAAGCACCCTCACCTTGGACGACTTCGCTTGGGTTCTTCAAAGACATGTACCGAAAAGCGAAGTCTTCGATATCTTATCTATTTAGATTGAACACATAAAGTTTTCAAAGCGAATTCCATTCCACAATGCTCTGAGTGCTGTGTTTTCCCTGAGCGCTGAACACAAACCAAAGGCAGCAATGAGCGCAGGGTTTCTCTTAGCAAAAGACCACATCGAACTGCTCACTAGTCCTGCGCAGGAAGCACCCCAAAAGGCCGAACACAACTAGATTCGCTGCTTTTCACCTTTGATCTGGATGTCACCTCACGTGAAACGTAATGAAACGTCCTTTTCGTAATCTCAATTGGAGCCAGCCAACATAAGCTGCCAGTTGCGCAATGGTCGTGGTCAGCGCCAGGACTGAAGTGTTTCCACCAGCTGTCTGTTTTAGACGGAAACAAAGAACATTTCTTCGTGCAAAGCGGATTGCCTCTTTCGGTTTCACACTTCTGTGTCCTTCAAGTCTTAAGTGATTTCACGTGTCTTGCTTCTTGTTTCTCCATCTAACCTTTGTCTCTCGCCAAGCAACAATAAGTGTGTTTCAGCAGTGGCGCCAGCAAAACGCGGTTGGAGACTCGATTTGCAACAGCGGCTGAGACCTGGACCGCAATTACTGAATGCCTTTCAGTCGTCTCACAACTCAGAAACGGTTTCAACAATGCCAATGGCGTTGCATCAGTTGGTGTTGCACCTGGTGCTGTCGACCCTTTGGCTGAGGATAGCTGAAGCACTGCGGAAAACCAGTTGGAAAAAAGCAAAGCAGTTTGAACCTGTTACCCCATGACCTGTTTACCTTCCACACCACCTGTTGGCACCTTTTCCACACCTCTCTAGAATGCAGTTCGCGACCTTTCATGACTCCAAGCTGCAAAAATCACTGGCAAGGCAGCTCGCTGCAACCTTATCAAACATCGACAATACTCACCACACCGACGGCACCAAGCTAGGCCAGCTAAAGCTAAGCTCGGCCAAGCTCAGCTAGATCTAGCCGCTTCAGCCGATCAAGTCTATGTGAAACGCGGAACTCAGCATGCTACGCGCGCTGTTGCACTTGCCTTTTTGAAATCGCCTCATCTGACAGCAAACAACTGTAGCTTCCTTTGCAAGCATTAACACAGGACAAACACTTATTACTACTGGTGAACTCAACAAATCCGACTCAGAGTTCTGTTTCCAAGTGGAGCTCTTTGCATCCAAACAACCCTGCAAGAGACACGAACATCTTCTCTACCTTAGACAGGGCTTGCTTGATTAGTAGAAAGTGCAAACGTACAGTGCCACGACGAAAAACAATGTCACTCAGCCCATCTCCTGCACGCGACAGAGTGCATCTACATGGCAGCCACCCGGAGGCAAACGAAGCAGGCCTCCAGGTCAAAGCATCCGCTCGGGTTGCTTGAGAAACAAGCATGTCGTGGGCGGCACAGGATAAGCTTTTACAAGCGTGCTAAGTGATGCCTTTGATGGCTTTCTCCTTTCTGCTCTGGTGTTATAAACATCTTTCATATGGTAAGGTCAGGACAGCCTGTTTTAAAGAAAATTAAAAAACAGTCAAATGGACAAGTTAAAGTCAACAAAAAGGACAAGTCAACAACGCCGGAAAAACAGTCGGAACAGCGGAAAAAGTGTCACAAATAAAAGACAACTCGAAACAGTCCAAAAAAGTCAGAAACATGTAAACAAGCTATATTAGAACACAATTCGAACAAGTCAAACACATCAGAATTCGAAAGCAACTCCTCAACTAAACGGCCACTTTTCTTTTTTTTACTTTCTGAAACTTTCTGATTTGATGTTCGCTTTGACTTTGACTTTTGGCACCGACTCCTTGTTTACTTTCTAGATTTTCTTTTTTAAGTCTTGAACACAGGCTCTCTCCAATGAACGATTTTTATAACTCTGGTGAGGACTGAACGCTGGCCAGCTAAAAACTATCCATGCTAGGAAGACAAACAGGGAACAAAAGAAACCATGTTGATTCAGAGATATTGCGGGTTGCTTTACCTCGCAAAATGTTGGGTCATCCATCAATAACATCAATTACAGTTAACGTTCTGATGCGCTCGAGTCGTCAGTGTCGCGGCAAGCAGTGCCGGTCAGATTGGGCTGGGAAACATCACTCATCAAGCGATAATGATACTTGAGCCTCAAAACCTCGCTTTGTTTGAGGTGCTCCTCGCAAACTCAAACCCAGCTCTTTGGCTGGCTAAGCCCTTCGCCCAAGGGTTGCACAGGTATGTCTGGGTCAACCCTGAAAGGAAACAAGTGGGGCAGGAAGCGTCAGCTCCGCCAGGTCGTTGGCTTCTTTGGCCAGAGTGAACGTGGTTTCATTTGGCTGGCCGTGGTGGGCAACGCGAAGGTGAAGGGGCAGTGAAGTCTGGACCTGGCAAAGTTTCAGAGCAACCAAAAAATTGGTTTGCTTGCAAACCTCTGGCAAAATTGTTTTTCATTGATTCAACAAACGAAGTGAGTGGACCTCGACGCTCGGCAGAAGCCACGCTGGTTGGTGGCACCCAAGTCAAAAGACTATCATCCTAGTCGGATGAACATGAGCAAACTTGGTAAACTAAATTTTTGCAAGGCATGTTTGGTCCGAGGAATGGTGACTTAAAGAAGTGCCAATATTAACATGTATTACTGTATTAACATGTATTAACTGAAACTTGACACATGGATCTTGCTCCGTGGCTCGCCTTCAGGTCGCGGTCCAGTTGTGACTCTATCTCAGACCACTTGTTGACCGTTGTTCGGCCAAGCCGAGTGGGTTCGATGCTCCTCAAAATGAGAGCGTTGCAGTCAGCCGTTTGCTGTTTCAACTGCGCGCTACCACAACTCCCGGTCAAACATATTCTACAACGCAATTACGGTTTATAGTTGAAACATGCGATGTACCTGTCTTGATCCACTCCAAGCTTAACTTCATCGGATATCAGTTCACACTGGTATGCGGCCGCGCTCCGAGGCCATCCACCCACCTGCCCACGGACGTGAATTCAAGTGGGTCTGCAACTTGATCGAATTGCATCTGAACACGGCGCAGGAGATCAACGGTTATCCTTGTGGACAAGGTCACTAGACTAGGCTCCAACGCCGCCTTCACAATCCGACTGGCTGCAAGTGAGCGCTGCTCACAAGTAGTCACCCATTCGCTTGGCAAGTGCAAGCTCCTGAATTTATTGCCTGCACTGCAGTGGAGTGGATCTTTGAAGTCGTCAGATTGACCACCACTGACAGATGGCACCACCAGTGGAAGTAGCGAGTTGCGAACTTCTCATACACCGATTTGAGGTTGTTGTAAACTTCCATCAGATTCCCCGTCTTGGCCCTGAGAGCAGCTACGCATGCGCAAGCACCGCTGATGATGAACGTCTGGGGAAAACATGAATGAGTGGCAGCGGCATGTTTTTGCCTTTTGATCTCCTCAAGGTGCGGCGTTGCCTCTGGGAGGCTGTCGCTCAAAATGCCGGGCGTCATCACTACTGCAAGCAATTGTGTGCCCCAATGACCGCAATCAACGAGACCCCCGGCTTCGGCCGAAGTTGCTAGAGCCTGTTACCGATCCTTTTGCCACTGAACCAGGACAAACAGTGTCACGACACGTTGAAACTTCTGGAGGCGCTGATTGTTTCACACTTAAAAGAAAGCTGGAAAGAGCACAGCTCGGTATTGTTCGGTATTACTCCTCTACTCGTTCGCCGTTAAGCCTACTGCAAATAGACCTTGGCCCGGAAAGCGGTAAGGCGAAATTTCCGGGAACATGGGTAAAACGATGGCGCAAATTAAATTTCTGTGCAGGTACGTCTGAAAGGCGTCCCTTCCAAATATCACGGCCGTACTATCGCTGTCTTCGTTGGGCAGTGAGTGCTGGGGGTCCACTGCCCCCTGCAAAGTTGTTGAATTAGGCGGTTCAACAGTATTGTAAAATGTGTATAACACTGAAAAAGTGGCAGCGTCTTTTCCAACAAACACGAGGCGGCGACAGCTGCGGAAACATCGAATCCACGTCAAGAAACAACGCAAGGCCACGTTCAAACCTGCTCGATTCCACACGTACCCCCTTTGGTGCCTTGCTTGAGTTGTCTCTTTCGGGACGCCGCTCTGCGGCGCATGGCTTCGGCCTCTGGCGCGTCGCACAGCGACCAATGACCTTCGGTCAAAAGCCGCTCCAAGGCTCCATTGCCATGCCATTTGGTCAGACCATCCGACGGAATTTCCCGTCCTGGGACCCATCGGATGAAGCCAGCGCCAGGTTCCTCAAGAGATTGGCGCGAAACGGCTATGTCCACTGGTCCACTATCAACTTCCTATCGCTCGGGCTGTTGTCGCCCTGGACGGCGTCATATGCCACTTTGGCGTCCAGCACGAGCACATGCTTCCATCGACTGGCCCAATATTTCCAGGACCTCATGTCAAAAGATGGATGCATCACTTCCGCAAACACCACTCTCAGGTAATCTCCATGTTCATATGCTGTGGCCGCATCTGAAAGTTCGGCGGCCATGCTACATCGCACCACTCGCTGCAGTCGAGAGCTGCAAGCCTCCATGATGTATACTGGTGCATCACCATGTCGTACTCCAGGGTGGGCAATTGCAATCAACAAGCCACCCTGGCTACCCCCTCCGGGCTGAGCCGCATAGGCTGAATCGCTGATGGACAAAATGACCACTTCAGCCAAGGTGCAGCCAAGGTTCTTCATCTTCATGGTCAACGGCTGATGCGCCCGCCTGACCACCTTGTTTGCCCAGGCCAGTGCGCCAGGATCTCGCTGACCTGCCAACTGCTGACAGTGCGATGCACCATAGTTGAAGTCGAAGCGGCGTTGGCGTGCTGCCCAATTGACTTGGCCTATCACCGAGCCGACCCACCTTTTCTCCTGGTCTGTCAACTCGCGTTCCATGTCATCAGTCGAGCGCTCTTTGACCAGACAAATAGAGCTGCAGTACTCCTCCATGGAAAACTCAACCTCCTTGGTGACAGGATCTTGTCGTTCATATCTTCCACAGAACTTTGTCCAACCATCAAGACCAGTCCTCTTGTCGCGAAAGGTGAGCCTCTTGTGCAACTCATCCCAAATGTGATTCCATGCAACTGGCCAGCATCATTGTAAAAGCAAGAGAAGCCTGGCGCCAACTTCAGTTCTCGCCCTCCAAGATCACATAGGGTCTGGCGGTACTCCAAGTACCAAAGGCGAGGAGATTCGGGCAAGCCAAAGCCTCCTTCCGTCAACTTCACAATGTCCTTGCGACTGCCAGGCCCGAGCATCTCGTGCAACTCAATGAGCACCTCTTGAGGGTACTGATGAGGAACCTTGACATAGATCTCCCTCTCTGGCGGAAGCTCTTGTCCCTGAAGGAACGCAGCGCTCACATCTTCGTACACGATCGTCCAGCGATGTTGAGCCGCCAGGAAGATGAGCAGGTTGTGTCCAACCAAGCTAACTGTTGGCGCTGCAGTTTGATGCTGGCCTGCTTCTGGATCTCTATGGCCATCAAACGCCCATCGAGCCTTCAACAGGGCATTGATCAGCTCCTTTGCTCCCTTGTTGGTGAAGACCATTCGTGATGGCAAGATGTACTTGGGGTTCACATACTGGCCAAGAGGAACACCAGCAATGGCATTGTGAGAGATGTAGACGTGGAATGCCTTGATCAGGCTCTTGTGAAATGCCTTCTTCCACAGTTCATCCAACTGGTTCCAGTTGCATTCAAGACGTTCCTTGCCGGTGATGATCTGGCCATCGCATAGTCCCCTTCTTGTTCCTCACTATGTACTTCTATCGCTTCTTTGAGCTGCGAGAGTCGTGCTTGATTTGAGGGTTCACTCCAAAGCCGCTCTTGCATGAAGATCTCATTCATGGGGCCCTCCATCTGGTACACGTCATCTTCCGGAACCTCCTCCTCATCCACAGCCAGGAGATCGTGACCATGTACTTCTCGACGTTGATGTGTCTTCCCTTTTGTCTTTGACACCGTGGGCTTGGCTGCCTTCACGGTCTTACGAAGCTTCTTCACGGACTTGAAAGCATCTTCCAACTGGCCACGAACTCGAGCTTCTTGCATTGGGGATGGAGGCTCCATCTGTTTGGCCAAATTCTCACAGAGGCGCTGTTTCTTCTCGAACGGCAAGGTGTGTGGGTCAGAAGGGCCAGCTCTTGGATCTGTCATCTGCAGTGGCGCATCAGCCAACAGCCTTTTCTCAGGCCTCATGCGCTCCTCTTACGCTCTTCTTCCGGCATCTCCTGATCAGACGACGAAGCCGAGGATGAAGATTCCTCCTTCTTACTATCTTCGCCGTCTTCAATGGCCTCATCAATCACCACCTCGGCTCGTCCACTCTTCGACAGCCTCCTTGATGTAGTGACCACTGACCAGCTCTTCTGTTGTGGCTAGTCTCACTTTCTCTAATGCCACAGCGCGGACTCGGCCCCGAATTCGCACCCACACCTTCTTGGGCGCACTCTTGTCCTTTTCGATGCATACTACTATGCCTGGCCCACTCCACGACACTTTGTCTTGCAGCCGTCTGGCTAGTCCTCGCCTGCATGGTGGCGGGTCATACACATAGACAGTTGCTCCTTCTTGTCGTAGAAGTTCAAGTCGAGGAGGTCGTGACTTGAAAGCCAGAGCACGTCTCAAAGTCTCATGTGCATCGATCCATAGATATGCCTCTGCTGCCCCAATGCGAATGCGCTCTGCCCGCTGCAATGCCTCTTCTCTGGAGGTTTCTTGGTTCGTCACGAACCACATCTTGCCAGAGCAGATCTGATCCATCAAGGATGCCGGCAACAGTGTTTGCTTGCCGGTGACTGCTTGCATCGGTGATACACCTCCAGCTGTTGTCAATCTGTTCTTGGCGGCGCAAGCTGCGTTGACTGACATGCGCATCTCATCAAGCCCTTTGATGTTGTGGGACTTCACCATCTTCATCACCATCGATTTCAGCGCGGAGCCGTGCTGTTCGGCCTGGCCCAGCTGCCACTTAGCCCCTTCAGGGACTATCTCATGGATCACCGCCATGATCTCACTCAAAGTGTTCACCGTGCCAGCAAACTCCTTGCCTCCATCTGTGTACAGGATGTCACGCGGTCCAAAAATGCTATACCATTGGTCTCTCAACACAAAGGTGGATGATGGGTTCAAACATGCATCGCCCACACGAAAGGAAGTCAAGCTGTCCAAAAAATGAACCACGCCGTACTTCTCCCCTGCAACGTCCTACACTTTTCATTGAATGTTCGGGCCTTGGCCGCTGACACTTGAGGAGCATCTCGTGGAGGATGGACTGATGCGCATATCTGGCATCGGAGGTGCCTTGCAGCATTCAAGATCTGTTGGCCAGCGCCGCTCAGCATCAGCGTACGTCGACGAGTGACCAAGGGCAGAGTGCACATGAGCAACTGCCGTGCGAATGCGTCTTGGTACTTGTTGACCGGGTCCTTCAAATGTGATGTAGCCATAGCGATCAGCTGCCACACCAAGATCTGCTAGCTGCTGCCTCAAAGCTGCTTCATAGATATTCATTCTCCACCTCCTCACAGAGCGTCGGAAAACCTTGCTCTTCTTGACGGCGCACACTTCAAAATGTGCTCACAAAACTGCTGAGGCCAAGCTCCCGCCAAGGCTGAACGGTTGCACCAAGTTTGGAAGACGCAGATCTTGCCCTCAATGCTTTGGTGGTCTCCAACCTTGTGGTTACATTTTGCACCGTGCTCCAAAGCCTCGTTAAATGCTTGACGATTGACATCGAGAGCCGTCAGCTTCCGATGTGGCTTTCCCTTCAGCCTGTCACGAAGCCCGAACATGCATTGCGCGACCTTGGCCCGATGTAGATGAGGACGCTCCCGCATGAAGGTCAGATCCAAGGGCTGTGAAGTCCATGGTTGTTCAGTCAGGGCCTTCGCTCACTTGCTTGTCCCACACCTTTCTCGCAAACCTCCACAAGGTCAAATGCTCAGCTCGCAGCTCGTCCAGCTTCTCTTCCGGCGCTAAGCGCATCCACGAACACCAGGGACCACAGGGCATGCTCAAGGTCACCAGATCTGGCTTACGCTCATGGATGATGTCAAACACCCTCTTCTGCATGTCGTTCTGGCGCAGGTCATGTCCATACAGAAGATCAATCGCCTCCTCACTGAGCCGCGCCATACCAGCGGAGATCTCGAGGACCACATAGCGCTCTTCTGTCTTGGCCGTATTCTGGATGAGCGCTGCCCTCTCCTTAGCCTGTTGAGCCCCTTGCTTGAGACGTTGTGCATCGCCTCGTTGAAGCAGTTTCAAAGGAAGAGCTTCCAAGTCTCCTTGTTGTTGATCTTTTGTCGAAGTGCCCCGCAATGTCCCCATAGCGATCCCACCTCCTTCGCGAACAGCATGGCCAGCCAGCGCGGGTTCTTCTTCCATCGGGCCCCCACCTCCTTCTCCACTCCCTGCTTCACTCGCATCTGCCATAGGAACTTCTTCCAGAGGTACGTCTTCATGCGAGATCTCACAGACGCGGCCAGGTTCAAGGCCATCTCCGCACTCCATGTCGTGGACAGGCTGGGGTGGTCCGCTTCGGATCCGGTCAGGGCCATCTGATTGGCCTTCTTGTTCTTGGCCGCCAGGGTCTTCTCGCGGCGCTTGAGGATCATGCTCTGTTCTTCCTTGCTCAGCTCGGCCACACCCACCGCCGACCAGCCGGCGCTCTGCTCCTCCTCTTCGGCCGGCGCCACCGCCAGCTCCTGCTTGGAACGCCTCACAGGCGTTGCAACTGGCTTCTTCGGACCCATGGCTTCTGATTTGGCCTTGCGCAGAAGTGCAGAAGTTCCGTGCTGGAAAGGCCCACCAACATGTCCTCTTCCTTCTCCATCTCCTCGATGATTGGACATTCGCGAGGGCGGTGGCCTTGTTCTCCGCGCAGCTGGCATTATTACTGCATCCGCCGCCGAGTCGCCCTTGCGAGTCGATGCACTGCTGGACATGAGCTGCACACGTAGAAGGGGAAGTTGTCGAGTGCCGAGGTGCTTGCACATGATCGAGCATCACGGCTTCGGCGGTTTCAACAACATAAGCTTCATGACCTTCAGGTGTGCAAAAATCTGCTTCAAGCTGTGCGCATGCCACTCCATCAAACTGGTCAATATTCATAGTGTAATGACCGTTGCTCGCACGTGACAATCCAAAAGCCTTCACCTTCATACGCGTCATACGAGTAGAGCTCATGGTGTGTTGGCCACAATCGATCATCATACTCAGCTGACTACATGCGTGTCGTGAAAGAAGAGGGGGACATTCACCCGAGACGACGGAGAAACCAAGCACCACTTGACACCCGGCAAGAGCAGCTTCAACTTGCACTTGATACTTGCTACGAAGTGATTGACCATTGCCGAACTGAAAAACCTCTTGCTCGGGAAAAACACGAAGCCATCGCCCCCTTTGCTTCCATTCCTTGACCACTTCATTCATCCATGCCGTGCCAGCAACTGGTTTGACACAGCCCAAATCCAAAATGACATGCATGCGAAGCTCTCTATGACACCGAAAACTAGCATGCCCAAAGAATGCCATGCCACAGCCCCAGCCATTCGCACCTTATATCTGGATCCAGCTGACGATCGGCTGCTACGTGTACTTGTGCACAATGCAACTAAAGTGGCCCACTCCGAATCCTCCGGCTTTGCTGTGGCTCCAGCGCTGTGTCCCTTTCGCGGACATTCGCGCGACCAATGACCTAATTCACCGCATCTATGGCATGGTGAAGTCCGCATCTTCTCAGCCAGAAGCCGCTTCTTTTCTTCTTGGTCAGGTCGCTTGAAGTATTGTCGAAGTTTCCTCACCTCGGCAATCTTCTGCTTGGCCTTGAAGTGCATTGCAAAAGCCTCATTCTCAGCGTCATCCAGCTCAGGCGGGAAGGTCTTCTCGTCAATGTGCGGCCCCTCCTCTTCAATGCCATACAAACTGGCCCCCTCAAAGTCGGCCGCATTCACTCCCTTGCGACCCTTCTCTTCACGTTGGATCAAGAAATCATCGCCATGTCTGGCGGCCACATTTGGCTCAGATGAACCAATGGGGAAACCATGCTCACCTTCGAGGTCATCATGGCGTTCGTCATCCTCATAGTCCGACCCTGCACGGGTCTTGATCATCACCTTGTCTCTACGGGTGAGCTTGGCATTGTCGAGAAGATGCCCCGTGTAAAAGCATTCGCCCATTTGCATCTCCTCGTCGAGGGCCTGCAGCTGGGTCCGATAGATCGAACCTCTCGTCACATAGCTCTCCAAGGATTCACCTGGCAGGCGACGAAGTTGCTTTCGATGTTGATCCACCTTGCGTCGATCGAGCTGTCGGATGATGGGTGACTTCTCTAACGTGCTCATGATCACCTGTGGGCCTTTTGCCTTGCTGACATCTCGACTCGACAAGTGATGCACTAGCTGACCTGCTCGATCACGAAGTTGAGCCATGAGACGAGGTCCAATCAGCTCAGGCGGTAAGGAAGATGCCTCACCATCAATCCAAAAATCAACCGACCTCTTCCACTCCTTGAAGGACTCTCCGGGCTTCGCCCGGAAAATGGGTGGATAGCTCGAAGAAACCTTGCCTCTGCGATCTCCTGCAGTCGGTGGGTCTTTCTCTTGGCCAGCAGATGAAATTTCACCGGATGGCAAATCACCACTCACATCACGACCATGGGGAGGCGACACTGGAGATGCCTCCATTTGACCTGTCACCTGGTTCGACGTCCCTTGTCCTTCACGGCGTCGACGATCGTGCCCTAGATATTCTCCCCAAGGATCTTTCGCGAGATGCCCAACCCCTTCACCTCGAGACCACCTATCATGACCCGATTCTCCCGAATCGTCAACCGTTATATAGGTGAAGGATGGTGAAGGGTGTTCCGCTTCACAGCGGCTTAAAGCTTGAGACCATGGCCAGGACTACCACTGGAGCATGCACCCAACCTTGCGCCACCTCCTCAGACCTAATAGTAGCGACCCAATAGCGGTGGCCTCCAACCGAATAGCAATAGCCTCTAGTAGCGATGGCCTGCTTCACACAAAACTGATGGCACTCCTCCTATCTTCAAATCTCCGCCGCCATCCACTCATGGCCCTGGTCTCTCGGGTAACACCTAAGCCCCATCTCAAACGTCAGGCAATCTCCTTATGCTTTCCCTTTTGGACATGTTTAATTGATTTCTCTGGTCCGCTTTGAAAACACATCTTGGCACTGCTGGGTGTGCTGTCGAGTTGCTGTCATGCGCGACTGATATAACTTGCTTTGGCAGTGAGCGTGCTCTGTCAGGAGGCTTTCGTCGACGTGGGTCGGCCTCAGTCCTGCGATCCCAAAAAGTACTATTTCAGAAAAAGGAGTTAACGCATGCTGAAGGACTAAGGTAGCTAAGCAGCTAAGCAAAAGCGGTATTTGACGGACCTTATGGAGCCGGGTTGGAGCCGAACCGATGTCACCTGGCATGCGGAAGAGCATAGAAGGTACATGTAGAACGACACGATAAAGGTGCAGGTATCCACCCTGAGTCTGCAGATCAACTAAATTTAGTTTATGGATGAAATCAATGTAATTGAAAAAATTAGTTTGTTTCCTACTAAATTTTTGAAAAACTAATTTTTCATTGTAAATTTCAACAAAGTCAAAACAACATATAAACAACATAGAAACAGCATAGAAACAACATACAAACAACATAGAAACAGCATAGAAAAACATATAAACAACATAGAAACAGCATAGAAACAACATATAAACAACATAGAAGCAGCATAGAAGCAGCATAGAAACAACATAGAAACAACCGCAACAGTCAACACAAAAACACCACAGAAACACACAAAACATTGGCTTGGAAGTTACACATGAAGTTGGTTTTCACAGGTAACAGACAAGAATGGTTTCCGTCACCGTCGCCTCAAATTACTTGAGAAGTGTTGCAGTATATATTTCAAAAAATTGAGAAGTCAGTTTACTTGAGAGAGGAGCTTGTCACAACCAATTTACTCGTCTGCCTTGAGAGAAGCCAGGGGTGATATACTTGAGAAGTGTTGTTTGATCTACTTGAGGAAAGGTGTGGGAGCACTTGGTGTTGCTGTGTTTAGTTGAGAAAACTCGAATATTTTTATTGGTGTACTTTCACCAAGTTACTTGAGAAGCGTTGCGAAAAATTTACTGGAGATCAGGTACAGCTCTTTTTACTTGAGAGAGGTCTTGTGGGGTTATCGAGGTTGCTATCTTGAGGCGAGAAAATGATACATGTAAATGGTCATCTTGACAAGAACTGTTCACAAGTAAATTGCAGTCTTTGCATTTGAGCTGTTCACAAGTAAATGACAATCTTGCGAAAACACCTGGTCACGAGTAAGTCTAAGTGGCAGTCTTGGCAGTTGAGCTGTTTCACAAGTAGATGACCATCAACGCTCACAGGTAAACTACAATCTGGACAGAAGAACTGTCCAAAAGTCAATTGCAATATTGGCACAAGACCTGGCCACAAGTAGTTCTTTTCACAAAGCAAATGGCTCACAAGTACATGGCAATATTGACACAAGAGTGTACACAACAGTGACAATAGTGGGCTTATGAAAAGTGCAATCCACAAACCTCACAACAGTGCCTTGAGCAAGTGGCATCCACAAAACAGTAAATGATGTCTCAAGTAAAGTGAGCATAGCTTTCCGAAAACATATACGAATGCCAAAAAAAGTCGTACACAGTCCAGCGCCCAAAGCCATTGTGCAATTTGACTGCAAGGAAATACAGAAGGTGGTTCACAAGTAAAAACTCCTTCACAAGTAAATGTATCCAGAGTCTAATGAACTCACAAGTGCAGCATCAGCATGTCCAGAATATAACATGGAGATAACAAAGTTGAATATGTGTGTATACTTTTGATGTGCGTTTGTTGATTTTCTGCTCATTTTTCTATGTACTTTTTATGCAGTTTGTACGCAGTTTGTATGTAGTTTATATGCAGTTTTGAAAACTACATGTAGTTTTATCAAAACTACATGTAGTTTTCAAAACTGCATGTAAACTGCATATAAACTACATATAAACTGCATACAAACTGTATATAGTTGTTGAAGTTCTTTTTGCACATTTTACCTACGAATGCAGTGGCATGTAACAGTACCCTTGAGCAAATTTTTACATAACTGTTCAACATTTACTTGAGAGCAGTTCTCCAATAATAGAATTCCTATGAATAATTTCATTTACTTGTGAGCAGTTCTTGTTGTGAAGATGCGCATTTGCTTGTGAACAGGTCTTGAGTGTCATTTACTTGTCAGATGTTCTTGTTTTGGAGATGTGTAATTTCTTGTGGCTTGTTCTTCAGTAACTTCTGTCATTAACTGGTGGGCAGTTCTTGTGAACAGTACATTGAGTGCCATCTTCAATCTTCCTACAACTTTCTGCGGCTTTTTGTTTTGAGAGTTTGTAATGTATTGTGAGTGATCCACTGTGCTCATGGCTGATGGAAAGCCAAATGAATCTATGGTGGCCCAAACACCAGCAAAGTCAGAGAAAGATAGTGAGAAGCCTTCTGCCACTCCTGGTTCAGTCCTGAAGAAATCATCAACAAAGGCAAAAGCTGCTCCCAAGACTGCGCCCAAGGAAAAGGCAAAGAACAAGGTTATCAAGAAGTCAACTGTGTCCAAGCCCAAGCCACCCAAATCAGTGCCAAAACCCTTCAAGCGACCTTCAGGACAAGAACAAACCTGGCAAAGCTGGAAGGTGGGCATTGTGCCTGTGCCTGAGGAGAAGGACAAAGAGGAGGAAGCATAAGAAGAGAATGAGAAGGAGGATGACCCAGAAGTAGACCCAGAGAAGAGCAAGAGTGCAGAGACCAGAGACCGAGTCAAGCAACAGAAGTTCACGCAGATGTTTGCTGCCAGTGAGATCCCAGAGTGGATTGCAAGGGAGCGGGGGAGTACAAAGAAGTTCAAACATGGCAAAAGAGACAAGCAAACCCTGATTGTCAACAGCCTGTTTGATAGACAGGGGGAGGTTGATCATGAACACAGACAAGGCGGTTTTCAAGAACATGCGACATGTGACATGAGTCAAGTGAACAAATTTGGAGAAATCATTCTTGCAAAAACTTAAACACAGCCAACAACCACAACAACAAAACAACAAAACAACAAAAACAAAACAGCGCAGAAATAACAGAAACCCCGCAAAAAACAACATATGACAACACATGCTTCAATTACTTAAAAAGAACTATTTGTTTTACTAATTTAAATTACTTGTCTTACTAATTTAAATTACTTGTCTTACTACAATTTACTATGGTAAAAAATACTTTGTTTTTTACCTAATTTTTTACTTTACTAGTTGAAATTAAGTAAAATTTTGGCAAACTAAATTTAGTTGATCTGCAGACTCAGGGCAACATCTCAAAATACCAGTTAGCTGACAACCGAAGCAGGCAAGCAAAGTACAGGAAAAACATCGAACATCCAACAAAGTGAGCGCGAATGTTGAGGTTGAGGCTCTGGCAGAGGGGCCCGCTGCCTTGTCTGTGGCACGCTGAACACGCCCGCTTCGTCGCCTGGGGCAGGATATGGAGCCGAAAAAAACGGTTGTTTTTGCTACTAAGTTGGAGGCCATCGCTAGCAGGAGGCCATCGCCACTCTGGGAAGAAAGGACGAGGCAATCGGGTGTGGTCCGTATGGTGGTCCAAACATCCAGGGTCCATCAGTAATACATGGGATTTGGGGCCGCTGAGGTGGCGTTCCCGGCCGATCCTCACCTCCTGCTTCCGCTTCCATCCTCGTCTCGTAGCATCTCCTAGAAGCTTCTCGTTACTAGTAGCATCTAGTAGCGATGCCAGGAGCCCCTAGAAGCTTCTTGTTACGAACCGAAGATTTTATGAACGTCCATGTCTTCATTGTACGAAGAATCTTTCCTCGAAGGGCATCTCGAATCTTCGACGAAATTGCCACGCCACTGCTAAGAGACCTCCAGAATCTGAAAGTTCGTCTAGATTTTGGTTGACCTGCTTTAATCAAGCACGATGCAATTCTTGACCTCCGCACTTTCCAATCCAACTGTGCCTGACGTAGCCACAGATCCCACAGTTACACCAACAGCAAAGACCTAAGCAAGCACACAGTTGCGCCCACAGCCATGAACATGGCGGCATGAACATTTCCGCAAACAAGGAACTCCCAAGGTAGCCTCTGTGCCCATCAGCCAAGGCACTCCCCAGGTACCCAAACGTCCAAGAGCAATCCCAACTTCTGATAGGCCTGATGTGTAACCTGGGAAGTGCTTGCTGGCCACAAAGTTCGGTGAGTGAATTGCTATAGACTATATATATAGACTTCAAACTCATTCAATTCCTATCCGACATTCATCGAAATTCCAATGTGAATCGCCAGCGACGTGTTGAACAAATCAACCAACAACTTCTCGCTCCGTAAAGAGTCATCCCTTGCAAACATAACATAGTGAAGAAACCTTCGCAGGCCAAGCAAATCAGCTGCGAGGCACCATCAACCTGCGATTCTATTTTTTCACAAGGCTCAACTCCGAACAGAAACTGGAGACCAATGACACAAGCCGGATCAAACCGGTGTCCTCAACCGATGCACAAACACCCCGCTGTCCAGCAACCTTGTATCGTGAGAGCGTGTGGAATTTCTGCACACACACTGACTCAAGTGTTTGCCCTACGGACTTGCTCAACATCAATGAATTCCAATGACGGAGCTTACAAAGAATCAAGGAGCTTTCGGTGCAAGCTGCAAGAGTAAAAACTACAAATAAACACATTGTCCACCTTGTCGATGAACACCGAGCCCTTGACTGCAAACTGTCCATCATAACAGGTGTCTCCTGCCACACCGAAGCAATCAACAAGTCATAGTGCCCCGCTTCGTTTGTCAGCCTAGGCGCTTGCCGCTGCAAGACAGCTGCGAGATCTGAGAAGCCACCTGACCAAAGAGACTCTTTTCACTCTCGGCAACAGGACTAGCTTCTTGCTACTAGTAGTGCCCTAGCTACTAGTAGCTTCCTTGCTACTAGTAGAGATGCACTTGTTAATTATATAACATTATATAGCAATTAATGTCATATCCATTCAGTTTTAGTTTTTTTGCTTGTCCAAGCCAGGAAATAATGTAGAGCGTGGTCTCACGTCACTCTATGAACAAACAACATTGGGCCTCCCAAAGGAAGGTATTGCCAAGAGCCACAAAAAGACCTATGGCAGTGCGGCTGGAGCTGTGTTAGAGAGACTGGCATTGCTTGCGGACTGAAAGCGGGACTATTCATCTTCATCGCATGCTAATTTTTAGCAATTTTTATAACTTTATATAATAAGTTATAAGCATTGCCGTATATTGCCGTCCGTCCGATGTGTCCCCAAGAACCACGAAGCCTTGTCTGAGGTCGGGTGTGTTTTGTTCGTGTGTGGTTGCTTGGGATTGCTTTGCCTCCCAGGTTGTACGTGTTGCTTTGCAATATAGTCTCTCTTTGGGGGGATGGGCACTCGATAATTCCGTGCTTTGTGGCCTATAGTAGCATTGGCTGACAACATTACGAGGCATTGACCGTGGGAAAACCAACCTGTAAAAGCTCAAGTCTTCAGCAAAAGGGTTCCAAATTCGACAAGGGACCCGAAAAAAAGAAGCCGTGATCTTGTTTGAGAAACGGGAGCCCTCTGAGCCCTCACCAAAAGAGCTTTCCAAATGAATAATGCAAAACTCTGGAAGGTTCCTACCAGTTTTTGTCGTGAACCATTTGTAGCATTGCTCCTGTTCTTGGAATCCAAAAACAAAACGCTTCGCTGGTTCTGCCTTTTCAGGAGAAACAACATATATAGCTTTAAACATATAACAAAGTATATCAACATATATATATATATATAGATAGATATCTGTGAAACCTGCAATCGTTCAAGCATCCAAGCATCCAATCGAACCTTCGCATGAACAACCGTGAATCGACGGTTGGCTCAAGGACACCAGGCAATGAGGTGGAAATAGCGCGGCCGCTTTGACTTAGGTGGTTGATAGGTAGATCCCATAGGTTGTTCCAGGTTGAGTAGGGCTACCTTTGTGTTCTCGAGGACGAGGCACATTGGTAGCGGAGCCCGAAAGGGCCCGCTGCTTCGATTTTAATCGTAGTAGTGGAAAGCCATGGCTACAGAAAGTGCTGGTTCCAGTGATGATCGACAATCCGGAATCTGGTCAGTGTTGCCCTCGTTTGACCCAGCTGTGGACGACATAAAAGAATATGTAGCGAAGGTCAAGTTCATCGATGGCATATGCCCAAAGAAGGATCGTACGATGCTGGCACCAAGGTTGGCTATGCTATGCAAAGGAACGGCATGGCATCAAGTTCGTGCAGTCAGCGCAAACCTGTTGACCGATGCGGACAATGGAGTGAAGCATTTCCTGTCCGCCCTGAGTTCATGGGAAGAGAGCGCCGAGCTGAAAACGTTCGATTTGTTTGAGAAAGCAATATACAAAACATATCAAAAGGCAGACGAAAGCACACAGAGTTTCGTGAATCGCTTGAATGTTGCATTCCATGATGTTGGATTGGACACCACATTGAAGACAGTTCGAGCATTCGTGTTGCTAAAGCAAAGCAATTTGAGCATGGAGGACAAGAAGAAGGTGTTGACAATTACAAGTGGAGTGATGGACATTGAAGCTGTCGAACAAGCTATGCGAAGCCTCTCAACAAATGCGCTGACAGGTACGACCGACAAGAAAAAGGTATATCCCACCAACTATGTCAATAGTGACGATGAGGAGCAAAACAATGACGAGACACAGTACGGCCAACCATCCTATTTGGTTCAAAATGAGGATGATGAAGTAACACAAGAGTTCATCGAGAACCTCGCAGCCTCAGGTGATGGTGATGCCCTAGCTATCCAAGGTTTCGAAAGAGATCTCACTGATCTTTTCCAAGAAGTACCAGAGCTCCACACGGCCCTCACGGCCTACCAAGAAGCCCGTGGCCGAATTGCTGAACGACGCAAGAGCCGAGGGTTTTGGCCGGTGAGAGGTGGAAAAGGTCGTGGAACAGGATGGTCATCAAGTGGCTCGTACAACAACAAAGGATCCAAAAAGGGAACAGGCAAGGGCAAGGAAGAATTGTTGCAACGAATTGCAAGGACACACTGCAAACTATGGGGAGAACGTGGACATTGGCGAGCAGAGTGCCCTCAGAGAGCTAAGGAGTCTGCGAACATTGCCACGATCCACACCGCAATCGAGGAAGATGCTGGAGATCAGATCATCGTGGAAGACCTCAGTGAAGAGGAGAAACAAAAAGATGATCAAACAGTTTTGAAAAACCATGCAGGATTACTTCATGAAAGGGTATTTTGCCACGAAGCTTTCGTAATAGGAACCTGTATGAGAGCCAAAAATTTCGAGCCTTTTGGGAACCAGTTCATGCTAAATAGGGTAAAAGCATTCTTTGCAGCCAAGTTGCCAAAGCCCTCAACACCTGACAGGAAATTCGAATGCAGTTCGAAGCAAGCTGGTCATCCGCAGATCGTCCCAAGTTGCACCAGTAAGACAGGCACATCCGGTTTCGAAAGCCATGGGATCGCAATCATAGACACCGGTGCTAGCAGAAGCGTGATTGGGGATGAAAATTTGCCCAAGCTTCTCGCCAGTCTGAACACAGACACTCGATCGATGGTTCGTGAAAAGAGCAGTCGAGTCGGATTCCGATTCGGAAACAATCAAATCGAGCATTCGTATAAGCAAATCCAAATTCCCATAAATGGAAAGGGTCAAAGAATATGGTTAGCAGTAGAGGTAGTGCCTAAAGCAACGCCTTTTTTGCTGTCAATACAGGTAATGAAACATCTCGGAGCAATAATCAATCTGAAGCATCGAACATGTCATTTTCAGTCATTGCACCGATCAGTACCAGTCATTGAAGGTAGAACAGGCCTGCTTCTCATTGTCATGCGCGTGCAAGATTTGTGCACAGGCAAACCACACAAAGCTTTTGTGACCTCAAGCCCGTGCGAAAGCATTGAGATCCCCGCGTGTTCAGTGAAAACTGGTCAGCATGCCGACTCGAGGAGAAGTGATGCAAATGATTCGCGACACAGCGGAATCGGTGATGAGTTCACTGCGTGCTCTTTTGACACTGCTCATGAATCAAGTCGCCACCCAAGTGTCCGATCAAGAAGTCCCCGCCGAACATGCCCTACAGATGCACCAACTGATGGTGGAAGTCAACAACCAGAGAATGAAGATCGAGGAGATTTCTCGATCCCTTCGTCAGGGAATGACACCAAAAGGACCGGAGAGCGAAACTTCATCTTTCCACCTGGTCTCAGTCGAACAGGAGGAACTGGAGACATGGGAGCAGGAAGTTCAGGTGATCCCAACCGAGTTGAAGACACCACCACGAAAACAAGTACAACATGTACAGGAAAATCCAAAGATGATGATCCCGGGAATCCAGACCTATGTCAAGACCATGCACGGAATCACTGGAAGCCATGCATCATGTTCGAATCCAGTAGTTTCAGAGCCCACCATTCCATCGGGAAGCCGGGTACTGGCAAGTCCAACCACTCCGCAGATTATGAAGATGGGAAGCCCAGTGTCGGAACCACAGGGACCAGTTCTGGACCTCGCCTGGACGCAAAGTGCTCTGCAGCAATGGGGAAACAAGAAAGTCACCTGGGGAAAGAAGCATCCAAACAAGATCTACCAGAGATGGATCCCCAGTATGTGAATTGGTGCCTGAGCCGAATCAATTCTCTCGATCAGCCGATCTTAGATTTTGCACGATATTGCCAGACCCGTCAGCAAATGGAGAATCAAATCTCCGGAAACCACTGATGTGGGAACAAGTTGCATGCGAGCAATACGTGTCGGTGTCCAACAGCTTAGAAGCTAAGTGGATCCAAAGTCTAAAGAATCAGCCATCAAATGTCAGTAGCAATAAACAGATCGACTTACTAGAGGTCTATGCTCAACCCAACAGTCGACTAGCCGAAGAGGTCCAAAAGAAGGGAGGTAGGGTCATGAGGTTCACGAAAGAACATGGTGATTTGAGCACGTACGAAGGACAAGTGGCACTGATTCGCATGATTGCCGCATATAAGCCGAAGCATGTGTGGATGGCTCCCGAATGTCATCCATGGTGTGCTTGGAATCGGTTCAATGCAGGTTGAAGTCTAGCTAACTACCAAAAGATTCAACAATCTAGGGAGCTGTCCAAAGTCCACATGCAGCTGTGTTCGTTTGTCTGTAAAATCCAAGTTGACGAAGGAAGGCATTTTACGCTTGAGAATCCTGGAGCTTCTGACTTGTGGCATCAAGCTGAAATAAAACCAGTAATTGATGCAACTAGGAGAGTCAGTCTCGACCAATGCAGATTCGGTCTAGTCTATCCTGAAGATCAGAGACCTCTAAAGAAGTATACTAGACTGCAAACCACCTCAAGAGCAATAGTGAATGATCTGGATGGTCGAATGTGCAAGAAGGATCACGAGCATTGTCCCATAGCCGGAAACTGTAAAGTTGGTAAAGAAAGAATGGCCCTGTCAAGATATGCAGCATTTTACCCAAGAATCCTAGCTAGAGCCGCAGCTCAAAGCATTCTTCGTGAACACCATGAGTCAGAGTTTCCAATTTATCCTGCCGACGAGCTGTCCGAGCCAGCTGCCAAGCGAGTTCGAACCCATGAGCCAAAGAGTGAGACTGAGGCCAAACGTCCCAGAGAAGAAACCAAGCATGAACCCGAAGAAATCGCAGATGAATATTGGGACACAGTGTTCGAATGGTGCCAAAACAATCTGCCAAAGTCAGGAATTTCGGAAATCCCAGTTGAATCCATGATTCAGTTGATCTGTGCATCAACGAACATTCGACGTGTGAAACAAATCAGAGCCGCAAAAGGTCTCGAAAGATACATGATAGGAAATGCCGAAAACGAAGTCCGCCACGCATTTTGTCAATGCAGAAAGACCAAGAAACATTTTGACTTGGGGGAAGAACAGTGGACCAAACAAACATTGAGGAATCAAAAGAGACATGCAATTCCAAGTCATATCATGATTTGCGTGTTCGGTACCAATTCGGAGTTTCCACCATTGTCAACTGAAAAGAGTTCTAACAGTGGACAGGAGCCTCGGCATTCAAGAGATATGAAGGTACAGATAACACCGAAGCCTGAGTCCCAACAAATTCGAGAAGAGGAGAATGAACAGAAAGCACCAAGTGTGACTGTTCCTGCATGGCGACCACAATCAGTTGTGCAGTCAGGTCCTAAGTTCCTTGAACTAGATTCAGAGAAGCAGAGTCAGATTCGTAAAGTACATAACAATTTAGGACATCCAACAGCCGAACGTCTGTCTGCACACCTGAAACTTGCAGGAGCCAGAGTCGATATAATAGAAGGTGCAAAGGACTATGCTTGCCAATCATGTTCAGAGAGAACACCACCAAAACTGACCACCCCAGGAAAACTCAAGGAACCGAGAGATTTCAACGAAAGGGTGTCAATGGATGGGTTTGAATGGAAAAATAAACAGGGAACAAAATTCTATGCGCTACACTTCTTCGATGAATCAACACATTTTCACTTGGGGAAAAGAGCCCACCGAAGTGCAGAAGGAACAGAGAAGTGCATGTTCGACACATGGTTGCAATGGGCAGGTCCACCAAATGAGTTGTGTTTTGATGAAGCCGGAGAATTCATGAGCCAAAAATGGAAAGACATCATTCAAAAGGAAGGGATTACTCCAATCACTAGTGCAGCACCATGGCAAAGAGGACGAATCGAAAGACATGGAGGAGTAATCAAAGAAATGCTGAGTCGAATAGAAAATGAACATGGAATAGTGACAGAGAAAGAATTCGACCATGCCCTGTATCAATGTTTTCAAGCCAAGAATTCCATGATGGTAAGCAACGGATATAGTCCAGAACAAGCCCTTCTAGGTAAGTCACGCAAGTTGCCTGCCTCGATATGCAGCGATGAAAGAACAACTGCTCATTCGATCGACAACGACGAGGACACGAGATCCGAATCATTCATGAAGAATATGCAAATTCGTACTGCAGCTAGAAAGGCATTCTTGGAAAGTGACAACAGCTCAGCAATTCGAAGAGCACTCCTTCGACAGTCAAGGGGACAAGAACATGACTGGCAGTTAGGTGAGCTAGCTATGATATGGGATAAAAGAAAATCCCCCAACATGCTTGAGAAAGGAAGATGGGTAGGTCCATGTCAGATAGTAATGCATGAAGGCCGAACTATCGTTTGGGCGACGCACATGAACAAGCTGTACAGAGTAGCTAGAGAAAATCTCCGTCCAGTATCCATGAGGGAATTCCAAAGCAAGCAGAACTTCGTGCAAATATGTGAGAAATAAAAACTTGAAGCAATGGCAAAACAACTTGAACAACAATTGCATGAACGCAGTGGAATGTTTCAGTTTCAAGATTTGGCCGAAGGAAATACTAGTCCAATTCCTGTCGAAAAGGAGCAGGGAGAGCAGCCAGAAGAGGAGCCACATAGAAGAGATTCGAATGCAGGTGACAGCCTTGATGAGCCAGGATCCGAAAACGCAGAAACACCACCAAATGAGAATACAGTGGATCCAACACCCATAAATCCGACTGAAGAGACAACAGAAAGCCACACAATGCCTGAAGGGGAAGGGGTAAGCATTATAGGGGATCAACAAGAATCTACCCAGGATTCGCATGTTGTGTATAATGCACTTTTTGTAGAAAACAAGAATTCAGAATGTTGTGCAGTGGAAGACGATGGGACTCTGTGGAGTAAGCGTCTTGAAGAGAACATTGCAAAAGCCAATTTTTGCATGTTTGAGTTTACCGCGCCAATTCAACAAGTGGAGCGATTTTGCCAAAATCCGTGTCTGTTTGCTAAGCAATTGACCAAATCGGCAAAGAAAACTCATACTGAAGTTAGATATTCACAATTGACAGAAGAAGAAAAGAAGCAATTCGATGAAGCCAAAATGAAAGAAATGAAGTGCTGGCTTGAAACGGACGCAGTCAAGCCTTTGTTGAAGAGCCAAATTCACCCGTCAAAGATCATGTCATCAAGATGGATCTTGACTTGGAAGGTGGATCCAACTGTCCCCGGAGGCCGAAAACCAAAGGCTCGAATAGTTGTAAGAGGGTTTGAAGACCCTGATTTAGCTAGCGTCTCGACTGAATCGCCCACATTGTCGAGAGATGGTAGGATGGTAATACTACAAACGGTGAGTTCAATGCATTGGCTACTGCAATCATTCGATATCAAAACGGCATTTTTGCGTGGCCGATCCGACCATCGACAGCTAGCAATGGAACCCGTAAAGGAACTTCGAGAGTTGCTCCATATGAAAGACAATGAAACTTGTCTTTTACAAGGAAATGCCTACGGTAGGGTCGATGCACCAATCATCTTCTATAAGGAACTGAGAAAGAAGCTAGAGGAAGTTGGATTTGAGGCACACCCACTTGATAGTTGCATGTTTTTGCTTCGCAATCCCACCAATCCCAAGATATTGGAAGGAATCCTAGGTACACATGTAGATGATGGAATTGGAGGGGGAACTTATTTGTTCGAGCAAGCTTTGAAGAAAGTTCAAGAAAAACTGCCTTTCGGTCAAAGAGAGTACGGCAAATTTAGATTCACAGGACTAGATATTGAACAATATCTTGACTCAAGCATTCGAATAAACCAAGCAGACTATATCAGCAAAATAGATCCAATTGACGTGACAAAAGCCAGAAGAAAAGAAGAAGAAGCAAATGTTGACGAAAATGAACTTCAACAACTTAGGGGTCTATGTGGTAGTTTGCAGTATGCAGCAGTGCATTCACGACCAGATTTGGCAGCAAAAGTAGCTTTCTTGCAAAAGCGTATAAGTCAAGCTCGGGTGCGAGATCTCTTGGAGGGAAACAGAGTCTTGAGAGAAGCCAAAGAATATTCAGAAACAAGCGTGTTCGTGAAACCAATTCCTACAAAAGAGCTTACCTTTGCAAGCTTTGGAGATGCTAGCTTTGCTTCAGAGCAACAATTGCGAGCTCAGCAAGGGTGTTCATTGTAGCATGCACCGACAAGCTTCGACAGAACCAAGCCTCCGAGATAAGTCCGATAGCTTGGAATTCGAAACAAATAGGTAGAGTGGTTCGATCCACATTGAGTGCCGAAGCATATGCCATGTCATCATCACTAGATAAATTGACATGGATTCGATGCATGTGGGGAATATTCATGGACCCAACCTTTCAATGGCAAAAGCCTGAAAAGGCATTGCAAAGCCTACCAAAGGCTTTACTGGTTACAGATTGCAAATCACTGTATGATTTGATGACAAAGCTGGCAGTACCAAACTGCCAAGAGTGGCGTACTACTATAGAAGTTATGATGCTTAGAGAACAATCCGGTGAACACTCCATATGCAGATGGATTAGTACGGCCATAATGCTTGCAGATGCTTTAACCAAGCCTATGGATGCATCCTTCCTCAGACAAGTTTTGTGGGTCAGCCGTTTCCGCATATACGATGAGGAGAAAGCCCTGAAGGAAAGCCCCAATAAAAGATTTAGCACTCGATGGCTTGCTGCAGAGGGTTCATGCGAAAAAGAAAATACAATGAATGTGAAACCTGCAATCGTTCAAGCATCCAATCGAACCTTCGCATGAACAACCGTGAATCGACGGTTGGCTCAAGGACACCAGGCAATGAGGTGGAAATAGCGCGGCCGCTTTGACTTAGGTGGTTGATAGGTAGATCCCATAGGTTGTTCCAGGTTGAGTAGGGCTACCTTTGTGTTCTCGAGGACGAGGCACAGATATCAAAGATATTCTACAAGTCTGATTTGTTTGCCTGACACCTGTTTGGTATCCAGTCCAATCTTCCCAAAATGTTCTTCAAAGTACTCTGAGGCACTTGCCAGGAGTCTGAAGAGCAACAGGCTGCATGCATGAAGTGGTCTGCAAAGGGTATCCGTACTGTTTTGAAGACTGCAAATGAGGTACACTCAGTCTCTGATTGCTGCAAGCAGCTTGCTATACTTGGCATGTTCAAGAGAGAATCTGCTATTGTATTAGGAGTGCATGTTGATATTTGATGATATGTGTTAATGCTTGCTATTCTGAATATGGAGATCTGACTAAAGTGGACAAACTAATGTAGCTCTGCCACCTGCCAGATTAGGAGGCCTTAAGTAACTTAAGTAAGTTGTGGTTTTTCGTCTGAGGAGATTGACGTGCAAGTGGCCGTTCACCTCTGCTCTAACTACCGAAACACGGCTGCTCAAATACTGTAATTCAATCACAAGTTAAAACAATTGACACACTTGTAACATTGTATCGGTGTCCTCCATCTCTGTATGACCAAAGCTACAGCCTGTATGTAGTTGTTGTTGCAGAAGAGAAGCTTTCACGTGGACGGCCGAGCTCTACTGCATTGCAAGAAGAGCGAGAAACTTGAGCCCTCTTCCAGCTATTGAGCATACTTCTCGCAACAATCCACACGACCGGGAACCCAAAGTGTTATTAAACATCCAACAAGTTTGACAATCTGAGACGCAGCCAAGCAAATAAACGACACTTGATAGTAGAAGGACACGCCAAACGCTAGGCAAGTCATACAAGCTCCGACTGCCTATGGCCTTTCTATTCTTTCTTCTTTTGAGCCAGGGTCTTCTCAATTGCGATATGGAAGATGCGGAAGCTGAGGTCGCAGTTGAAGCTTTGAACGGGTCCATCCACATTGTGTGATGTTCTCCGCGGACATTGTCACTGTTCTAAACATGTCCAACTCTTCTTGATCTGCGCCAGTTCATATGTCATGCAATTGACTGTGAACAACACACTTGGCTCTCGGTGTTGCCCCGTGCCGCAATGCGTGCGCGTCAGTGGACGTCGCAAGGCTCTGGATGTGGTCGACACGAACTGGTGGACGTTCCACTTCTTCAGTGCATTTGTTCTGGATGTGTTCCACTTCTTCATGAAGAACTACGGTCACCATCGCCTCAGGCTTTCTTGCTTCTCGAGTACAGCTCACCACAAAAGCCAGGGTCAATGAAGACGAAGGTTGATAGAGCAACAGCTATCTTCGTTGCAGATCGTTGCAGGCGGTATCAAGTCACCTCCAACAGCGGGGAACAGCACTTTACTATACTTTTACTGATCTATACTGGCGGCAAGTGACTGAGGAGTTGGGCTGCTAGTGTCTTGAGAGTTATGCTAGGGTGACTCCTCGGTCATGTGCAACCTGAAAATTGGCAAAAACATGGCAGGCACATGAGATAGGACTTAACCATCCAAAGTAGTCAACATCATAAAACAATCAAAATTCGATGCCCTCGCACATGTGTTAAGAAAGCATGCCTTCACTATGCCTTCATAAAGCCCTGTCCAATACTATATACAATAAATAAATATATATATATATATGTAATGCTGCCTTTGTCGTGCATCAAACACTAAGCCTCTTGGCCAAACCAGGTCTATCCTCCAGACTAGGAAACACTATGAAATGAAACACTGTATTTCCAAAGCACTCCGAATATCACACACAATCGTTAGCTTCAACTCTCTCGGCATGCGCAAAAATCTAGAAACCCTCTTGGCAAACTAGGCAGTCTGTCTACTAGCAAGCACCTGCCTCCTCCACGATTTGTCGCAAATCTCGCGGCAAGTCTTTGTTCTGCCGACAAATTTGCCGAGTAAGCCCCACTTTGATCTGATGCCTGAAATCTGGGAATCTCTGTGCTTCGATTTACCTCTTCCAGAGTTCCCGAGCCTCTTCCAAACTGCAGAAATGCCATCCTTCAATTTTTGAATGCGCCTCAGCTTGCAAATTGACATCGACTGGGTCGACAAACAAGCCAAGCCAATTTTCAGCCTACGCACCCAATTACAGTTTCTAGTTTTGCAAACTCATAAGCCAAGTCAATTTGCAATAAGTTACAGCCCCGCGTGCACACTAGCCAGTTTTCTCTCGTGTCCTCTCTAGGAAAAAGGCGAAAGGAGATAGAAGCTTCCTCACATTCTGCAACTCTGAGGTCTTAGCTCAATTTCCAAGGACGATGTCTGGCTTGCCTGCATGAGATACATTTGGTAACCTGCTAGCAATCCGCTTACATAACTTGCATACTTTTGCTTCGTGCTCTGCTCGAAACTAAAGAAAACCACTCAATACTGCGCACCTCACAGAGAGCCCTCAATACCTGTCCTTTGTCCAGCTCTCCCCGTCGATCCTAGCAGCTGTTGGGCTGGTTGCGGCGTTGCCTTAAAATGGACCTGCCTGCTACACAGCCGGATCGGACTCTTCCAGCATATACAGCATCACAATATATCACAGTACATACAGCTATGTCATATTCTATGATTGTCCATGATCCTGGAGAGGCATGAGTGCAAGCGAGATCACCCACGAAATGCGTGAGCAACCTCGGTGAATGTCCACGTTTAAGTCCCAACGGCTCTATCCCAATGCCGCAACCATTCTTCCATGCCATCTTCAAACCTGGCAGAAATTCGCTCAGAAAATTCCAGGCCCCGTTTTCGAGTGGTCGTTGAAAGGTTGCACGATCGAGAAACTCTTCAACACAGTCTTTTTCGCTTCTCAAACTCAGTGAAGGTCTGGGAAGGTTATTGGATCTATGGATCTTGAAGATAAAATAAACCGAGGCTGCTCCGCAGTTTGCTTCAAATCAGACCCATCTGAGTTCTTCCATGCGGAATTGCAAAGATTGAACGCTCAAATGCTTGATGGCATGCCAGGTATGTCTAGGCAGTCGATGATCTCAACCTCGGGGATCAAGCACTGACCTCCTGAGGGCAAACTGGAAAGAAACTCAAAGTCCTTCTGTATGTGCAATATGAAAAGTCAAAACGTATCAAATAACATTGGAAACAATGACACACAATAAACCATGTGAACTGCCTGGATCTGCATCATCGAGCAGGTAATTCAAGGTGGCTAGAGTGATCTCTAAAGACCAAGAACGAATATCCACTTGAAAAATCACAGCATACTTCCCATTGTAGCTGATGGTGAAGCAATTGCCGCGAACTCCATTTAGGACACCATGTCCAATGCCAGTGTGGTAAGTTCGCCCATTCATTGTTACGGTGTCCCCCAAGGCAATGAAATCGTTGAACAGAGCTTCGCACTGTGCTTGGGTGGTAACAATTGGATACTCTGTGGCACCAGCAGGATATGGACATGCCTGCGAAGCCTTCCATTTATCATAATCATAGCCATCGCTGTTAGAGTTGAATATGCAAGTCGCAGTGGAAGTGTTATCCACATAGTCCTCTCCCGCATCGGTACATCTGCCATCCATCTGTGAAATGCCACCCGAATCTTGCTGCTTGACGCCAGCAGGGTATGCGTACGTCTTCGAGTATGTGCAAGGGACTGCGGCATCGGTAAGCCGCTTGACCAACTTGACTCCGTCATTTGGCTTCATTCCGTCTGAATCTCCATCTGTGCGATCTTTGCGGCTGAGCAAAATGACATCCTCAGTTTCAAAACACTCAGGGTTGCTTGAAGGGCACTTCTGGCACTCACCAAACACAGCTAGGTAAACCAGCAAAACCCTGTATGCCATCGCAGCTGGAGTCGCCAAAAACAGGCTTGAGCTGGAAGGCTAAAAGGCGGGAAGCTCGTGTTATGACTGACTGTTATGATATATATATATATATCTGATGCCATCATAGGTGGAGAAGGAAACAAAGCCGCTTGAGAGGTGCATGGTTCATGGTTCTCTCACGCTCGAGACGCAAACCCATGAGAACGAACAATGCAAAGATATTCGAAAAACACAAAACAGCTGAAAGGCGAAAACACATTTCTTTTTTTGGGTGTGTGTGTGTGTTTCCACCTTGGTGCTTTGCCACGATCTTTGGCACGGTCTAAGTCATGTTGATGAGCTCGAACCCTTAGGCAAACATGCTGCTGCAAGATGCGGTTCTTTCGTATCTACACGAATCTTCTAGTAAAATGGCATCAACACAATCCGACGCAGTTGTCAGTCTAAGGGTCAGTAGAAAAGCAAATCAAAACTGCCTGCTTCCTCCTGAAAAAACGAAAACAATGTTCGAGAAAGTTCGAGAGCGGCGGGTAAGGTACTGGGTGAGTTGATTTACCAATACTTATTGCTTCAACATTACCGTATATAGACATTTTGAGCTATTGTTCCTGTAACCTGATATGCAAGTTTTTACTTTGACAAGTCATACGTGCTTTCAACCAACCCCAACGTATGGTCTTGCTAGTCATGCAGCTTTTCCACCGCCAAGATCTGAACGTACATGGATTCAACTGTAACAACGCCCCTGCTCCCTCCAGAGAGTTGCACAAAGTAGAGGTGATGGAGCAACGAGGAGTACAATGAGTTAGAAAGCAGAGTAACGTAGAGATGCACTCTGGAGAGCGTAATCAAGGGAAAGGGTCTCACTTGTGACGCGGATTTCGGACTGACTCACTTGTGACGCGGAGCTGTTGGCTCACTTGTGACGCGCCCGTGTTTCCGCGTGCCCGTATGCGCCCGTGGTAGTAGTAGTAGTAGTAGTAGTAGTAGTAGTAATAGTAGTAGGGAGGGCCGTTTAATTTAGTATTTTTGCATTTTGTTTTTTCGTGGTTCCTGGTTTCTGTGGCTTTTGGCTTTCGTGGTTTTTGGTTTCTGTGGTTTTTTGGCTTTCGTGGTTTTTGGCTTTCGTGGCTTCTGTGGCTTTTAGTTTTCGTGGCTTTTGGATTTTGTGTGGCTTTTGGCTTTCGTGGCTTTCTAGCCATGCGAAGGAAAGAAGGCGGGAAGGAAGGAAGGCAAGAAGGAAGCAAGGACGAGGGCTTCTGAGGCGTGTGGCTTGTGGGTTTTGAGGGTCAAATCTAGAGGAGGACGGTGCAAAAACCGTTTGTAAACCACCAGGAGGTAGAATTCACAGTAGATTAGGAAAGTGCCGGTCCGACGGTCCAGACCTTTAAATTCCAGCGCTTGCTCTCAGTGCTGGGACGCTGACA